TCCGGAATTTGTAGATAAAAAATTCGGTATTAGTCATCAAAAATTCCGCCTTATTCTGCTAATTTTGTACATATTAATTCCTAACTTTTGCAGACTCATTTCGGATTAGAATTTTTTACCAGATTAAATCAGAATTATTGTTGACTAATACTGGATTTTCCACAATAAGATTTTGAGATCCTTACGGACTCATGTCAGATTCAGTTTTTCAATATTGTTGCGTACTGTATCATATTGTATTCGCAATTGCGGATTTATTTCATGTCAATTTCGCACTATTTCCGAACTGATCTTTTTTTTATTTAATCTGAAATCAGTCTGAAATTTTGACCGGGAATAGCAAAATTTACATACCTATATGCACTAATAATCTTCAATTTCTACACTCGACTCGAATTCGCTGTGCCAATTTGATTCTTCCAAATGAATTCGTTTCTGTCAATATTTAATTACCATCTCAACAAAAAATACAATAATTGAAACTCCATAACCAAGAACAAGGATCCAATATAAAATCACCAATAAATTGGACTGATTTTCCATGAGACTAATTTCTGATGACTTCGTTGCAGTTGAGACAATTAAATCCCTCATCCATTTTATTATGAGTCCACATTGTGTAATACGATTCATATTCTTTTCAAATCGAAAAGCACTGGGAAAATTTGGTTCCATCATCATGGAACTCATTGTATTCATAAATACCTCTGGTACTATTTTGATAATTGCATAACCCTCTTTTGTCACACATTTTGCAACAGATTTTCTTCCATTTATTTCACCAGCAAGGCAAGTTACATTTCCATGATTGACAAGCATTTCAATACAATCTTCCTCATTGGAGAAAATACGTGATTTCATGATTAAATCCTTGATAATTTTGATATTATCAAGCTCTATCAGAGCGTCTTTACTATTTTGGCTCATAAACGGTACAAGATCCGATTTATTCACATCGTTCAACGATTCGAGTTGCATTTCTTTTTGCACCATAATGTCGACATCAGTCATCAATGAGTAGAGCTCCGATGAGAAAAACATGAAACCAAATAGAATCAATGGCAAAAAAATTCGATCCACATTGGTGGTTACATCTTGTGGGACAGAAATTCCCAATAGCATTTGGAAAATATTGAAAATTCGCCAAAATTTTCTATCAAGACGAAGGATTCTAACAATTAGATAAAGAAACATGATTATGCCCATAGTTAACAATCCCATAGTAAGAGAAGTTGTCGTTAATGATAAAAAATTTTCTGCTGATCTTTTAATTGGTACGAGCAAGAATTGGCGAAAATTTGCATTTTCAAAAGCAAACATATTGACGTACTCTTTACAACCTGATGGAATTATCAGAGCATTAGTGAAAAAGTGAAATTTGTTGTGATAAAGCTCATACAGCATACCAGTAGATTTATTTTTTTGACATGAAGCTCTACCAATTGGACTTCCTGGATAAAATATTTCAGAAACTCGGAAATTTTGAATTTCCTGTAAAACACGACGTATATTCATCTCTAATCCAGAAACTGGAATTTCGTAACCAGAAAGATTGCGTTTTACATTGACGTATGGCGGACTTCTAACTGACACAACTTTCATTTCGAAACCCTTGAGATCATTTAATTTATTTGGAAAAATTATATCACCATCAGAAAATTGTTTTCGAGTGTAGATTTTGCTGTACGGATTAAAATGATGCAGCATTACAAAACTATGCATATCAAGTATTTGTTTCGAAATCAAAGAGTAATTTTGTGTCGAATTTTTTTTCACTTGAAGAATGGTGAGGTCTAGAATTCTTTTCGACCAGGCAAAACGAAGTAATTTCTTGTGATTGAAAATATTTTCCGGCAATTGGATCATCAAGCACCGGGGATGAGTTGCGCCACCGGAAATTTTTACCAAATATTCCAATGGATTTTTTGGATCAGTTATTCCTGAGGGAATTATTAAAAATCGTGTCGTTGATTGAATGCTTCTGGAAGCTATCAAATGTCTCACATCCTCTGGTTTTCTTTCGAGGAAATTAATCAATCTCGTTGGTACTTCGGCTGTTAAATTTTGCAGAATTACGTTTAAAATTGTGTCATTAGTCTTTTGGTCGATCATTACTATTGTTTGAAACGCGTTAAATTCCCTCCTCCAAGTTGTATGAAGATTTTGAATCCATTTAGCATTTTCTTTACTTGTTATTTCTCCACTTGTCGTTAACGCGAATACAAAAATTAGTAACTTAATGCAAATATTACCTGACATTTTTTATTGTTATAAAATTTTATTAAAATTTGTTTTCACGTTTTTAATTTAATTATAACAATGACTGAAATTAAACGCCAAGTTTTTTAATCAAAATATCAGTTTATTTTTTCTGAAAAATTTTCATATAAATTTTTTAGAATTGTTACAGTTGCATGTTTGAAAATGTTCTGTTGATTTCAAATCCTTTTTCCCATTAGGTATTGGATTTTCCTGCATGAATTTTTATTTACCTATTTGACTTTCCCTAATCGAAAATTTTAAAAGTGAAATGTAAACTTTTTCTCTTCTTGTTAAATTACATTTGTGAATCAATAAATCGAATTTCGTCGAGGTCAGTCTCAATTCTTTTAAAGTTTACCAAATGCAAAAAGGAAAAAATAATTTACTGCACTTCTACTTATTGAACTATTGAATTAAAGAATTTCAACGGAGGATTTTTTTCCATAAATTCCAATTAGTAGCTCGCAAAGAAATGCACTTGTCGAAAGAACATAACCAAGAGTGAGAATCCAGTAAAAAATCATCAATAACGTAGATTGATCCTGCATGAGACTAATGTCATTTTTTTTCATTTCCTCCAAGAAAAATAAATCCCTCATCCATTTTACTTTGAGACCTGCTTGTGTAATTCGATTAATATTCTTCTCAAAACGAAAAGCACTGGGAAAATTTGGTTCCATCATTATTGAATTTGGAGTCTCCAAAAATACCTCCTGCAAAATTTTCACATCTGCATGACCTTCTCTGCCTATTTCCTCAGATATTAATGCTTTAGAATTAATATCCCTCATGACACATGTCACATTTTGATATTTAAATATCATTTGATAGCAATAGCTGCCTGTTGGTTCAATATAAGTTTTCTTCAATAAATCCTGTATAACATTATCATGATCAAGTGCCTGTGCAGCAGCTCTATCATTACGATACATAAACACCACGAGATTTGATTTATTCACTTCCTCCAATGTTGAGAATACTTTTTCTGTTGTCACCCTAATTTCAATATCGGTGAAAAGTGAATACAATTCTGATGAAACAATCATAAAACCAAAAATAATAAATGGCAGGAGAATTCGATCGGAATATTTTTTAATGTCTACTGGTGACGAAAAGGAAATTCCAAGAAGCATTTGAAAAATGTTAAAAATCTGCCAATATTGCGGATTCAATCGAAGGAGACGGACACAAATAAATACAGTAATTACCAAAATTGTTGTTAATACTCCTAGGATAAGGGACGTTGTTGTAATTGTTAATAATTTATCATCGCTTCTTGTCACCGGTACAACTAGAATACATCGATAATTTTCATTTTCAAATGCAAACGTATTAGCGTACTCTCGGCAACCTGATGGTATTATCAAAGAATTGGTGAAAAAATGAAATTTCCCATGATAAAGATAATTAATCATACCAGTTGATTTATTTTTTTTACATGCAGCATTACCTATTGGCAATTCAGGATATGAAACTTCAGATACTCGGAAATTTTGCATTTCTTGTAAAGCACGACGCATATTCATTTGTAATCCAGAATTAGGAATTTGATAACCAGAGAGATTGGTTTTCATTGTGACGAAAATTGGACTTCTAAATGAAACAACTTTCATTTCGAAACCCTTGAGATCATTCAATTTATTTGGAAAAATAATTTCCCCCGGGGAAAATGGTTTTTGAGTGTAACTTTTGTTGAATGGATTATAATGATGTAGTATTACAGAAGTATCTTGATTTTCATAAAATAAATTCGATAAGTAATTACTTGAAAAATTTACCCTCACATCAAGAATTGTTAGATCCAAAATTTTTTTCGACCAGGCAAATTGAAGTAATTTCTTGTAATTGATTGTGTTTTCTTGTAATAAGAAAATCATCAAACATCGAGGATGTGTTGCGCCACCGGAAATATTTACTAAATAATTTAGAGGATCCTTTGAATCTGTTTTGTCGGATAGAATAATTATAAATTGTGTAGTCATCTGAATACTTCGGGAAGCAATTGAAGTTCGAATGTCGACTGCTTTTACTTGGCGAAAATTAATCATTTTCGATGGACTTTCAGCAATTAAGATTTTCAAAATTTCATCATTTGGTTTGCGATCGATCATGATTATTCGTTGAAACGGATGAAAATTTCGTTTCAAGTATTTTTGAAGATTTTGAATCCAATTTGTTTCTTTTCTGCTTTCTGTTAATATGAAAATAATAAATAAAATTGTTATTAAATAATTCCTAGACATTTTTCCCTTGGTAATTGAAATATTAATTTGGATTTGAAATTTTTTCGAGCAACCGTATTAAAGACTTATCGAACTAGGTATAAGAATATTACTCTTTTTTTTCTGTCGTCAATTATTTATTTATATTTATATTGAAATTATTTTTTTCATTATTTATTAAATATTTTACTTGAAACATATTTTTTAACATTTATTTATTTAATAATAATGTTATTGGGAATGAATTTTTTATATTGATTGTTTGTAAATATAGAAAAAAAAATCAATAAAAAAAATGTCAAGATCATCATACGTATTCTTTTACACTGAAAAAAGTAGCATATTCTACGTAAAATATTATATTATTGTTAATTTATTTTTTGTACAATAAAAAATTCATTCATTCATTCATTAACAATAAAATTCAATTATATTTATGGAAAATTGCATTGTTTATGGAAATAAAAAGTACAAATTACAGTTAATATAAAATTTATTTTTTTACAAAACTAATATTATTTACATTAATGACAAAAATAGTTTCTTCAGTTTATTTATATGGTAAAAAATATTTTTAAAAAACCCAGATCCTCGTAGTTTTAATAATTATCAGTTATACAATTTTTATTTGTAAAAGAAATTCTTTAAGAGATTGAAAATAATTTTTCGACATCGTAAGCTCATGGTCATTCAAATAACCGCATATTTTTTCAACAATTAATGGTGGAAATTTAATATTTACAAAAATTTCACAAATTTCTTCCACTTTTTGCAATCTCCAAATTGATCTTTCAAAATTTCTTTTCAAATGTTGCTCGTAAATAGGAAATTCCTTTGCATAATTTGACAATCGAAAATTCCTTAATATTTCCTTATTTCTAGCAAGAGCAGTTAATTTTTGTACATCACTGGTCAAAAAATCATAATACGTAATTGAAATATTTTCAATGATTTTTTTCCCCCTTAAATAATAAATTTCTTTTTTACAATTCACAAAGAAAGTTCGTGCCTTTTTATCATTTAAACATTCAATATTATCTTTATTAACAAAATCTCTATTCTCAATCATTTTAACAATTATCGACACTAATATCAAAATTATTGAATCTTTGCTATATCTCTCAAGAAGATTATCATTGATTGCAAATTTTAAAAGACAATAATTATCATCATTCATATGATTAATATCGGCACCTTTTTCGATTGCAAGCAAAAATGATTTACAATTATCATCAGCGGCAAATCGACATAAATCGTGTAATTCATTTTCGTTGGTCAAAAATTTTTTATAAAAATCAATTCCAAATTTTTTCATTTTCTTAATAATTTTGTAATATTTTATTCTTCCTAAATCACGAAGTGGAATAACGTGATGTCGTTCAAAATTATCATCATTGGAATGAAGTCTAGCTCCATTTTTTATTAAAATTGAAATCATTTTTGGACAATACAATATTGCTTCGTAAAGTGGTTTATCATAAAAATTCGAACCATAATTTAAATTTGCACCATATTTAATTGCCAATTTTAATATAGTTTTATTACCCCATGAAATAATTAAATTTAAAAGTGTTGCATCGAAATGTGGATGATTATCGTAAAGATGATTAATTGGAGATGAGGATAAAATCATTTCAAATGCATCTTTATTCAATGTTGAGGCAAAAAATAATAATGTTGAAAATTTAACACCAGATTTAAAATCTGATATATAACAATCGTTAAATTTAGTTTGGAGAAATTTTATCAATTCCATATGATTATTTAGAGTGATTTTATAAATTTGATTTGTTAAAAATAAGGCAATTTTGTAATTTCCTTTATTTAGTGCGCATTGAAGTGGAGTTTCTCCGTTAGATTCATTTATTATTATATTATTATTTACATTTGTATTTGTTATTAAATAATAGAGTTTTAGTAAAGGTAGCGAGTCTTTGACAATTGCATCATAAACAATGGAATAATGTGCAACATTTTCTTCTAATTTCTTTTGCAAAATTTCTAAATTATATGCTGGTGATGTATTTTCATTGAAAAATTGTTCCACAATTTTTAATTTATCAGCAGGACATTCTTGGGCAAGGTCCAAAATTTCTTTCTTCTTTTCCCCACTCACCTTTTAAAATATATAAAAAAAATCAGTCAATTTTTTAATAAATCTATATTCAAATAGGACTCATTGATGGCAGAATTTAATGATTTAAAGTTGAAAAATTGTGAAAAAAATTAAAATTTCTCAATTTTCTTTTCTTTATATTTATATTGTAACAAAAAAAAAAAATTATTTTGAATTTTCTCCAAATTAATGAAAAAAATAGCCTCGCAAAATTTAATTTATTTACAATTCGATTGAAAAACAAAACGGGAGATTCCTCTTCGGATTTGGCTGTAATTTTTTTGGTGGCTTTTACCATGCAAAATACTTGACTAACCAAAATTTTCAGTCCCTATATCTCATAAAGAAGTCCCGCAATCGTAAATTTAGGAAAAAATGTATTCTTTTAAAATCAAGATTGAAAAATCAATTTTTGTTCTAAAAACCGTGGATTTTGTCGAAAAAAATATTCTAAATATGCTATTTCTTAAAAATACCTATCGCGATTTAGCTCAAATTTTTAGAAAAGATAGTTGAAAGTCCATACTTTAAAATGGTCATAAAACAAAATCAAGTTTTTTTTTTTAGTTTTTTGACTATATTTTTACAAAAAAGTGCGATAAATCAATTTTTTTTAGTAATTTGCTGCAGTTTTTTCGTTTCTGTACGCATGCGCCGCTATAGAGAAAAAATCTGAAATATAACCTCAAAGTAATACAGTTTTTTTTTTTATTTTTCTCGCTAACATGTGAGTTTATTTGAAAAAATTGTTGTTCATTTAATAAAACATAATATCTCGAAACGATTTTCTTAGTTTTATTTTAATTAGCAGAATTTTTAAATATTTTTTTTCATTTACTGAAAAACATGAAATTGGCATTTGACGGAAATTTATTTATTTAAGAAACGTAAACGGGTTCAAACAAATCCTTTCGCACATAGATACTAAATATTGGGTCATTCCATTTTATTTCACCTATACTCGTTGCAGCCTATTTTTAGAAAAATTTTTATATTTCGTATTAATGACTTTTAATATCCGTACAATTCATTTTTGACAATTATTTTATGAAATTTTTTTTTTATTTACGTTGAAATTTAGTTTTTAAGTTGAGTTTCACGGAAAATAGGTTAGTTTGACAGCTTTGGAAATTTTATAAAAAAAGAACAGAAATAATTCAGTTAGTAAATTTTTTTCCATTGATATTTGTTGAAAATAGTCTAATTTATCAATGTTAATTGACAATTGTGTAAAAAAGGCCAAAATACTGCGTGAAAAAAAATCCCATTTTGGTTTTAAAATTTAAGTTAAATCTTCTTTATTCATCTTATCAAAATTTGGTGATGGAGAACGAGCTACTTTTTATTTTTATTCACTTTAAAAAATTCACCGTAAAATACGAATTTGAAGGTTAAAAAACAAGTATTTTTATAAATAAAATTCATACAAATAAATCAATATTGAGAAAACCAACTTCAGTTTTATAAAATGACTTGTTTTTTAACCTTCAAATTCGTATTTTACGGTGAATTTTTTAAAGTGAATAAAAATAAAAAGTAGCTCGTTCTCCATCACCAAATTTTGATAAGATGAATAAAGAAGATTTAACTTAAATTTTAAAACCAAAATGAGATTTTTTCATTAATCGCCTGCGAAGATATATAAGAGTTCAAAATCAGATAAAATCCTGAAAAGTTCAACATTCAAGGTAAAATTTCTCATATTTCTGTATTATAAAAATAAAAAGTCAACATATCATATGAAAGTACATGAAAAGTACTTATTGTAAGGTAGTGATAAATTTTATACTATTTATAAACTTTCTTGGAAAATATAAATAAAATGTGACAAATTTTGACATTTTACAGGTAAGTTTGAATATTAATTTTCGTGTAGTATTTTGGCCTTTTTTACACAATTATAAAGTAACATTGGTAAATTAGACTATTTTCAACAAATATCAATGGAAAAAAATTTACTAACTGAATTATTTCTGTTCTTTTTTTATAAAATTTTCAAAGCTGTCAAACTAACCTATTTTCCGTTCAACTCAACTTAAAAACTAAATTTCAACGTAAATAAAAAAAAAATTTCATAAAATAATTGTCAAAAATGAATTGTACGGATATTCAAAGTCATTAATACGAAATATCAAATTTTTCTAAAAATAGGCCGCAACGACTATAGGTGAAATAAAATGGAATGACTCATTAATAGTTAAATACTATAAAAAATAAAAAGAAAAAATAATTGATATAAGCTATGATGAGCACAAGTGTGTTGTTTGTATAATCAAATCAATAAGAGTTGTCGCAAATTATTATAAGTGAAACGTAGGACTGAATTATCGAAAAATTTTATGTCACATTGAATTCGCCTCCCTGCCACATAAAAATTTATAATTGATAATAATAGAGAACAACGGTACTCATTGCAAAAAGTAATTTGATTTAATTAAATAGGAGAAATAATTATTTAAAAATTGTCTTATATTGTCAATTGTTTACTAGGGATGTAATTTTATAATAAAATGAACATATTATATTTCCCAAAAACACTGATCTGTATACAGATCAGTGTCCAAAAATCGTTTTTAAAAATTGTATCCAAACTAACCTGAACCATGATAATAAACTTTTCTAGAGTGGAAAGTGACTATATAGGCAAAAAAGCAGTGCTGCACCGCGGTATAATATTTATTACTAAAAAGTTACTGAAATCACTAGATGTGGGGGCAACATCGACATACATAAATTCCTATAATTGACAGAATGAACTGAATTTAATAAATAAAGTCCCATTCACTTTGCATTTATTTTTTATCGATTCGGATTGAATGGCCGAATTCTGAAAGTAGGATTGTAAAAGTAGAAAAATAAAAGAATGGCTTTGACGAGCTACTCTAAAATGTTGCCGCGAATTGGTAAGTTATTAATTTGAAAGAACATTAATCCATCTTTTTATTTTTTATTTCGAAATCTTTTGAATCGTTTGAAATATCAAAGAAATACGTGAATAATTGACTTCAACATAACCTAGATTTATCTATTTTATATACTAATTTCACTATTTACAACATAATATTAATAATATCATGTCGTTAATAAAAAAAAACAATTAATTATTTAATAATTTCTCTAATATAAAGTGAAATTTGTAATTTTGTTCTTATAACAATGCAAATTAATGTCTTATAATAAAATTTTAATGTGACATAATAGGATTGCACAGTGTTTTGAAATGTGTGAATTGTATCTTTGTATATGTATATGATAATAATTATAATATGTTTAGGATTTTATTTATAATTCGCTTATTTTTTTTTAATAATAACAATAATAATAGTATTTTGAAAAATAATTTCAATTTTTGTTTTTAAATCTATATTTAGATTAATTTAAAAAACATAATACAAATTAATTTCTTTTTACAAATTAAAATGTTTATTCTCTTAACTATAAAACAAGATGTTTAAATCTTTTACGTCTCAGAAATATTATTTTAAAGAGAATATTTTCTTTTTTTAAATCCGTCTACTTGTATTTTAATTAGTTTTATTGTTATTACTATATGATATTTATTTATTTTTATTAGTTTTATTATTTTTTTATATTATAATATACAAATTATTAAAAATTAATAATATTAATTATTATTATAAAATTAATAATAATGAAAGTTTTAATGTAAAATGATAATTTTATAGGGAAAGAAATGTATTTTTCAACCAAAAAATAAGAAAATTTTATCTAAAGTAATTTAACTTTATAGATTTAGATTTAGATTTATTTCTCAATGTACATCTTTTTGGATTTATACATATTTGCTTTCCCCACACTATATACATTAAAACTAAGCTAACAAATTATTATAATATATATATAAAAAAAACGATTTTACAAGAGCAAAAAAAATTATAGTTTACAAAGTTTTAAAAAAAAAAAAAAAACTATATGTTTACTGTAAATCTTAGTCAATATTAATTAGTCTTTGGCACGTGCTTCAAAAAATTTCGCGTACTTGCAGAGGCTCGGGATCGGTTTTCCTTTTAGAGTATGACAAAGGTATCCCGTGAACCCATCTTCGATATTTTTCCCTAGCCAATCATCTACTTCTTTCACCAGTTGTTTATCAATTTGGGTTCTAGCCTCTCTACACAGCCAAATGTGCTCTAAATTCTCTTCTTCTTCTTCACAGAAGCGACAATCCACATTTTTGAAACCTTTTTTCCCAGCTCTCCCGGCATTTCCACAACGCATCCTTGCCCACTGAATTTTTTCTGCTAGACCTACGTTAATTTAACTTTATATATTTTGACGTACTTTTACGTGTAGATTATAAAAAAAAAATATAGTGAGGACGATTGGAGTTGATGGTCACGTTTTTATTTTTTAAAGAAAATGTTTATTTTAATTAAAAATAAAATCGGACAAGTGCGAGTTACACTCGCACTGAAATCGAGGGAACTTAATTGGTATAAAAACATATGTTTAAAAAATATAAGTTTTATATGTCAAATAATGTAAGTGATACAAAAAGGAACAATTTTTTAAAAATTCTTAAGAAAATTGTTCCTTTTTGTATCACTTACATTATTTGACATATAAAACTTATATTTTTTAAACATATGTTTTTATACCAATTAAGTTCCCTCGATTTCAGTGCGAGTGTAACTCGCACTTGTCCGATTTTTAACAATTTTAAATTATAATATAATTTCAATTTAACGAAATTTATGTCTATATAAAAAATGACAAAAAAGAACTAAGTAGAATTTTTCTTAAATGAGAATTCTGTTAAATAAGAATTAGTTCGAATTAAATAATTTACTAAAATAACAGTTTTGTTAAAAAAATTTTTTCTTTATGCAATTTTTCTTGACATAAATTTCGTTAAATTGAAATTGTATTAATTTGAAATTCGATGTACTAGAAAATCTGCTTTATATAATTTTACTAAATAAAAATTTGATAATTTAAGATTTGACGCCGTAAAAATTCTTTTAAATTAAATGTTGAAAATATTTATACCTCCCCAATTAGTTTATTGATTTCACTTAAAAATTTTATTTTTTACTAAACATTATTTATTTGATTCAAATACATATGAAATTAGTGGATAATAGACATGTAAATGATTTAATTGTATTAAAATAAATTTTATTTGATCAAAATAAAAATTTTTTAGTGTAATTTAGGTAAATAGAATTTAAAAATGAAAAAAATTTTTTTTTTTCTTTTCTAGCCGGATTGAATGTATCGCGTTCAATTCGTGGTCCACTTTATGGGGCGATTCGCAGTAAATATTATTATGTTAATAAAGAAGAATCAATGGAATGGAAAGATATTACAGAAAGGGCTATTGACACAATTTATTTTAGTGAACTTATACGAGGTGTTGGTATTGCAATTTCGCATTTTTTCCGAGAACCGGCTACAATAAATTATCCCTTTGAGAAAGGACCTTTAAGTCCTCGATTTAGAGGCGAACATGCACTTCGAAGGTATTTTTTTTTTTAATTAACTATAAAAAAGTTTTAATTGAACAGAATTCTCATTCAATCGAATTTTAAGTGATTCGAATTTTTAAATGACAAATTCCAATTCACGGATTTTTAATTTGTTTGAATTTTTATTTATAAGAAGAAACAGAAAGATTTCGGCGCAATTTTTGAAATTGACCGAAATTATCAAGAAAATTGTGATTGGTCAATTTTAAAAATTGCGCCTAAATCATTCTGTCGATTGTTTGTTCGGATATTTGTAATTTCGGACAAATGAAAATTCGGCATCTTAAAAATGCGATTAAATTAAAATTCTCTTCAATAAAAAGTCATGTTTATTAAATGTTTAGAAAATAAAAATTCTGCTAAACAAAAATTTTGGTAGCTAAAAATTTTGTTAATTAAAAATTTGTATAAAAAGAAATTCTAGTATAATGCTAATTCGAATAATGAAAATTCGTCCGAAAAAAATTAGTTTCAATAAAATTCTTTACAAAATTAATGATTTTTATGGGATAATCATGCGCGCCGATTTCATTATTTAAAAAAAAAAAATAATAATAATAAAATTGTACATAGATATCCCTCTGGAGAAGAAAGATGTATAGCTTGTAAATTATGCGAAGCTATTTGTCCAGCGCAAGCAATCACCATTGAAGCAGAGGAAAGAGCTGATGGATCGAGAAGAACGACGAGATACGATATTGATATGTCGAAATGTATCTATTGCGGATTTTGTCAGGAGGCTTGTCCAGTGGACGCAATCGTCGAAGTAAGAGTTTTTTTTTTTTCTTAAATACCAAATATATATTTATTTACATTTTTAAATATATTATTATATTTAAATATTATGTAAATATAATTTTAAAAGAACATTGTTTCCTCTTAATAGGGTCCAAACTTTGAATTTTCAACGGAAACACACGAAGAAATGCTGTACAATAAGGAAAAATTATTAAACAATGGAGATAAATGGGAATCAGAAATTGCGAGTAATATTCAAGCAGATCATTTGTATCGTTAGTTGAGGTTTTTTTTTTTTTGCATTGTTATCTATATTGTAAATGAAAAAAAAAAATTAGTGCATTACTTATATATAGGATTAAATTATATTAAAATTAAAAATATTTGAAAAAAACAAATAAAAATGTAGAATATTATTTAATTTTAGAGCGTTTTCATTGAAAAAAAAAAAAAATTTATTATATAGCTTTAGATTCAATTTGATAAAAAAAAATTTAAAACTCACCTGTATTAGAAATATTGAAGTTTTTTTTGATAGGTTACGAAAAAATTAATTTGCTGACTTATTAAAACTTGTTTCATAATCTTATTAAAAAAGTAAGGCAAATAAAACGAAAACATTCGAACAAAGAGTAAAAATCTATTTTCTCCCTGAAGAGAGGAAATTAATTCGATTTCAAAACGTTGGAGTGAATATATTTTTATTCTTTGTCCGAATATTTTCGTTTTATTTGCCTTATTTTATAAAAGATATCGAAAGTAAAAATTTAATTTTCTACTTATTAAAAGTATTGTATAAAAATTATTACACTTTATCAATTTTTTTTTTTTAATATTTTTTTATAATATTGATTTAGACAAAATATACAAATTTACTATATAAATAACACATTAAACATTAAATAGGAACATTATTTTAATTTTAATTATTTCGAGTAACGAACATTATTATTATTATTATTAGCGACATTGCAAAGATATCCAGCATCTTTGGACATCAACGATAACAATCCAGACAAAGGCTTCTTTCTCCGGAATCGTATCTGTAGGGAAATTATTTATTATAGTAAAATTAAATGAAAAAATTATTAAAAATTTATAATACAAAAATCTTTTAAAAATTTAATAATACAAAAAAAAGTGGAAAAATTCAACATTCTCTTTAGAGGAAAATCTAAATTTTTTAAATTAGATTTTAATTTTAAAAAAAAAAACCAAAAAATTACATAAAAAAAGGTGAATTAAAAATTTCACCTGCGAATATATAATAGAGGATAATAAAAATTTACTTACAATTGTAATAAACAATTTTGACAAAAATTCCCTAAACATTGGGCACACTCTGAGAGGCAAGAGGTGCACAAAATTTGATCACATCCATTACATTTTGATTCAGTGTCAATGACACGACAACATCCACATAAAGTTACTGGAATTTTCTGAGAAAAAAAAAAAAAATTGTTATATTAAAAAATCGAAACTATCAAATTTGTCAATTTTTTAAATATGTGTATTAAAAAACAAAGTGGCCATTAAAAAAATAAAATTTAAGTTTTTTTCCAGATTCGAAATAAAAATTTTCATAGAATATTAAATTATAAAAAACTTTATTGACAAACGAGAAATAAATTTAAAAATAAATATTAAAGAAAAAAATAAACAATTTATTATAAACACTGAGTTAAAATTATAAAAATAATTTTTAAAATATTTCATATAATTTATGTCAGCAAAAATAGTTGGAAAAAAATCCTAAATTTTTCTTTAACAAAATAAAAATAAATAAATTTAAATATATATATAAAAAAATAATTTATTTATTATTAACATTGAGTTAAAGTTATAAAAATAATATTTACAATTTTTATATATATTATTTACTTATGTCATCAAAAACAGTGGAAAAAAAATCTAAATTTCGTCTAAATAGAAAATTTCACCGAAAATTCCAAAAACAAAATTTATAATTTTAATTTTTTTTTGTTGTTAAAAAGTTTTTACCGTAGAGTTTGATAAAAAATTAAGTAAATTTGTCAAATTTATAATTTATCATAAGTTTGAAATTTGAAAAAAAATTAAAATTTCAATTTTGAAAAATTTATTATAGAAAATTTCTAGCCACTCTGCAAAAATAGATTTAAAAAAAAAAAATTTTTTTCACCCGAGACTCTACGCCGGTTGTTTGCAATTGCAAATTACTGTTGAAAAACATTTGCTTAAATTTTGTGACTGTTTCCAATTTTCCACCTGGCTGACAGGAATTAATTGATTCAAGGCCCAAATTATCATCAGACGTATTTAAAGACTGAATTTTCGATCCCTCTTTTAATAAATTCATCGTTTTATCTAAAAGACAAAATTAATTTTCTTTTTTTAATATTTCCAGAATTAATTCCTCGGCTCCGATTTTAAAACGCAAAATAGAATCATTTTTAGTTGATTTAGTAATTACAAGAAAAAAGTCGATTTTTTATTTTTAATAAATTTAATTATAATTAATAAATATTTTATTTTATTAACTAGGATAAGTGCACCAATTACGGCGAGTGCATCAAATTATGGCGCGTTCATAAAAAATAACTATTATTACTATTATATTTAATATAAATGTTGCAAAATGATTAAAAAAAAATAAAATTATTTTAATCTTTTTTTGATACAATTACTATAATAAAGATGCACATTTAAAGAATTATTAATTTAATTATTTTTGTGATTAAATTTTTTCCCTCGTTGTAATTGAAACATTTTTAAAATTTCCATTGCAATTACGGTGGATAAAGTATCTTCAAAATAAACGTAATTTTTGGTCACCGTAATTGATACACCAAAACTGATACAAACCCGCCGTAATAGAAAAATGACGGAATTAGTTTTAATTTCTCATATTTGTTTAAATAATCGAATTTTATAAAGTTAAATTTTTTTTTTAATATATCTAAATAACATAAACTTTTAGTTTAATAAGACTTAAATTGACTTTATACAATATAGAATTTTCTATTTCAAAGATGTTTTGACTCGAATCGCGCCGTAATTAGTGTATTTACCCTATTGTCATTGGATATTTAAATAAATTTTATAAATTCCTTAAAAAGATTTCTTTTATTAATATTATTATTATTTATTTATTATTATTATTATTATTATTATTTTTGTAAAAAAATTCTCAGTTTTTCAATGAAAATTAAAAAAAAATTAAGCAGAAAAAAGTGATTAAAAATGAAAAATAAGAGTTAATTAAAAAATAATTGTTGAAAAAAGTTTTTGGAATTAAAATCTAGAGGAAAAATGTTTAAAAAAAACCCATTTTTATTTATTTATTTATTTAAATTGTACACGGGTTTACAAAATTTTGAAATTAAAATCCATAAAGTTTTGCAATTTGAGAGGAAATTCGAAACAATTGTTCATTAATTTTTATTATTATTATTATTATTATTTTCTATAAATAAAAGTGTTTTTAGTATTTAAGGTTAAGTATGGCATTGAACCTCCTTAAATAAAAGATATATTAAACGTGTTTTAATGAATAATATTTCAAGGATATTTTTTTATTAATAAATAAAAATTAAAAAAAAAAAATTATTTTATAGATCACTTTATATATAATTAAATAATTAACGAATATAATTCACGAACTCACCATAAACATTTTGCATTTGTTTTTCTTTGAAAACTCCATTATTCACTTGTTTTTGACCAACGTGAACTTTTAATTGTCGACCAATGTCACAATCAAAAGGGCAAGCTCGTTTCATTTTGTGTCAGTTTAATTATTATTTATTAAAAAAAAAAAGAAGAAAAATAATCACTTTCCATAACTAAAATTTTATTTCTCAAGCTATATTATTTCTTTTCTTTATTTCTATTTGTTCTTATTCTCAAACCGGTTTTTTTTTATTTTAAATTGAACAGCTGATTTTATAACCAGAAACGTTGGTATTCCTGCTTCTATATAGTGATTTCTTTTTAATTTTAAATTTAAAAATTTTGCATTCAAATTACAATTTTTTTTTTATTTTTTAGAAATTTTTCAAAATGTATGATTAATTGTTCAAAATCATGTTTAAAAATCATAAAAAAAAAGTAAAAACAAAAATTACTGTTAAAAAATAATAAAAATAATTTTTTTTTTAATTCTTCATGATTTTAAATCCTCAATAGGGTAAGGGGTACAGTGACCGACACCCTGGGCATACTTTCAACTTTAAATGACATTTTATCGTAATTTATTAAAGATTTAGTTATAAAATAAATTTTAAATAAAAGATTTGGGTTAAAATTTATAGTACACAAGTTTAAAATTAAAAAACACCTTGATAAGAGTTTATAATATTAATTTAAAAATGTATGGTATGAAAACAGTGATGACACCCTTTAATAAAATAAAAAATATTTAAACTTCTATTTAAGTAACATGATATTTATTAGTATTATCATAAATTTTATTATTCAGACTTAATGTACAAAAAAAGTTGCTTTTAAAATATAATTATTTAACAATTTTTTCATATTTATAAAATTTGTAATCAATAAAGCAAATTTTTTGAGGTTAGTTTTCTAGAAAGTATTAAATATTGCGGAAAATATAAACATATAAAATTTTGTATAAACTGTATAAGTTTTTAAATATTGTATATTAATTAATTTACTAGTGATATTTAATTAAATATTATTATTTTTATAGTTATTATCGTTTTTAATAGCAGGTGTCGTTCACTGTCTGGGTGTCGGTCACTGTACCTTTTACCTATACAAAAAAGATTGAATTTCCAAAAGTTCGAATTATCAAAAGATCCAATTATTAAAAGTTCGAATAACCAAATGGGCGAATTTTTAGAAATTCAAATTAATAAAAGTTCGAATTATCAAAAGAAAAGTATTTTTAAAAATTTGAATGTTCGATCGAAATTCTAAAATTTCAAATTATTAAGGTATTAGTCGCGTAAAATCATTTTCGTCAGATATTTTTTAAATTTTGCATGAGTGTTTCTGACATAATTATCTACAAAATAAGACCATTCCCATCGATTTTGACCGTTCCTAAGCTTTAAAATATCATTTCAAAGTTGATACTTTTTACATGGACGGAGCACCTAATGCATGTAAGGAATTTACTTTATAATTTTTTAAATAAAAACCAGTCGTCAGATTTTAAAATAAAACTACCACATAATACATTCTCATGAAACGAATGCATACAAAAAAACTGAAATTTTTTGACCGTACCAAACTATTAATATATTAGGAGAAAGTTAACAAAATTTTAAATTATATGAAGTTCCACTGCTGGAAAGCAGTACACTTGGCAACGCTGTAGCGCGCGAATACATACAACATTCAAAATCATGCAAAGTACACAGTTAGAAAGTAGGAATATCTCATAGAGTAGAATAAAAAAATAATATATTTAAAATTTCACAACATAGATTAGTATTAAATAATTCTCAATTTTTTAAATTAAATCATATATTTTAAGAAAAATAAGAATGAGAAACGTTAAATTGGTTGGTTATATTTCAACAGTTAAGAAATAAAAACATTTTTTGATGAAATATTTATTTTTTACTTTATAAACCAATTTATAATACATTATTGATGTAAATATTAATTATAAATAATTAAAAATTAGTTTTCAAAGAAGCATACTTGAATTTTTTTTAATAATATTCACATCTTTAATTATTAATTATTCTTAGTAAGTCTCATACTTTTAAAAAGTTTAAGCATTTATATACATAATTATTAATCATAAATAATTCAAAAATAGCTTTTAAAGAAGCTAAATACTTTTTGTGACTCCAACATTCAGTAGCACTGGTACATTCAGATTGCGACGTTGCCGCGATCAAAACTTTAGTTCTACACGTGCGAGAACGCGGCGCTCTGAGTGAAACTTACCTGTACCCTTCAAAAAGTTTGACTCAGAACTATACCTCTTGCTAAGCACAGACTGAGTCAGACTCAAGACAAACTTTTGGTTAGAGCCGGCGCGCGACTAATACCTTAAAGAAACCAATTTTTAAAAGTACAAATTTCTGAAATTTTTTAACTTTAAATTTTCTTCTGTTTAATTCGTACTTTCAGAAATTCGATCCTTTAATAATTCGTACTTTTAGAAATTCGATCTGAAAATTCCGAAAAATGAAGATTCGGTCAACTGAAAATTTGGACATTTAAAAAAATCGAATCACTTAAAATTCTGTTGAATGAGAATTCTGCGAAATTAATATTTGGTTAATTTTTAGAATTTTTTTGGAAAAAAATTTGGATAAAGAGAAATTCTGTTAAAAATTCGGTACCTAAAAATGTTTTTAAGATCGTTTAAAATGAAATTTCGTCTAAATTTGCTAATTCGAAAAATGAAAATTCGTTTTAAAAATAATTATAGGTATCTAATAAAATTTTTTAAAATGAAATTTGTAACTTTACATTTTTATGGGAAATTCGTGCGCCCTAATCTTGTGAATATTTAAAAATTTATAATAATTATATTTACTAAATTTTATTGTTTATTTTTGTCTTTTATTGTCTTTTTACAATTTTATATATTTATTTTGTGTTTTATTTCTTTCCTTCTTTTTACAGTTTTATTTATATTTTTTATGTACTATTTTAACAATTTGTTCATTTGTCTTTTACAATTTTATTTTTTTGACTTTATTTATTTTATTTTTATTTATTGACTTTTTTTTATTGTTTTTCTTTTGTGGTGTGCTAATATTAGAAATTAACTACAATTTACCTTTAAATAAGAAAAAAAAAGTAAATTATTAATAAAAAATATAGTTAAAGATTCAATTCAATCTACAAAAAATGAGCGCCAGATACCTTTTTCTTTCTTTCATATATACAAAATAGTATTAATTTAATAAATAATTTTATATTTAAACGAAATTAAATAAACAGTAAAAACAAAAGTTAATCTAAATTTCATAGTATCAAATTTTTTAAATAAAATGTTTTCGATGTTCATATATATTTTTTTAAACAAATCTATAATTTTATTAAGTCGAAATGAAAATCAACAGCTTTTCATTAAAATTATTCTAAACTATATTCTAATAATTGCCTTAAAATGTAATTATAATGATAGAGAAAATTTATTTAGAAAACCTATGACTAAAATATTAATGAAACATTAAACTTGTAAATTAAAATATAAACTAGTAAATGAATTTGTAAAAAAAATATAAACTAGCATAATTATTATAAACTAATAACGTATATAATATGAAAAATATTCTACAGTATGAAGAAATAATATGAAAATAATTTTTATTAATAATTTTAAAGGAAATTTATAGTAAAAAATTAAATTTTCTACAAGTCATGGGCGCCAGATAATTTTTAATATCTTTTTTTTTTTTTTTGAACTTATCAAAAAAAGTTTAAATAGAATTTTAACTTTTTATGAATCAAAGAAATAAATTATATTAAATTAAATTTTCACAAAAAATTGAGATTTGTTACGTCTTGAAAAGCGAATTTTTATACTAAGCAGAAATTTTGGGGAAAAAGTTTTTTGTTTTAAATTATTTAATTCGAGAAACAAAAAAAAAATTATAATTATTCAATTAGTGACGATATTGTGTGTCAGGAGAAATTTTTAGCTCGTATCATTCTTTCTCTTGCCAATTGAAATTGAACTAAAACATCTTCAACATTACTCATGAGATTATTATTTGAATTTAATTTGTCAAAAATATTTTTCCCCAAATTTCTGTCTTTAGTAAATATTTGTGATTGATGAACAATATTTGCTTTTATTTTAATATAACCACTTGGTATTATATTCTCCATTCTTCGATCAAGTTTCTTTTCTTCGTATATATTTGTAATGTTGAAATTATTTTCCGATTCATTAATTCCACCGGTGAAAAACCATCTCAGCGATTCAATGAATCCTCCCGATTGTCGCCAAGTGTGAATTTTTAAATTATGATTTCCTGCTTTTAGAGGAAGACTCGACGAGCCATAGCCTTCGATTCTCCATCTATGAAGAAAAATTTGAATTCTTATAATTTCTAAATATTGCAAAAAAAAAAAAAATTAAAACAGAGTGGCCACAAGAATAAATTTTCTAATTTCTGACAAATCCCTGACAAAATTTTATTATTCAATTTAATTCTTTTCAATTAAAATTTGGATAAATAAAATTTTGGATAATTTTAAATTTAGATGGATTAAATTTTTTTTAATAAATGCATCAACTAATTTCAATTTAGTCAAGAAAAAAAATTTTCTTTGACTTTTTCCTGACTTGTGGCAACTCTGTGAATTTTTTTTTTTTTTTTTTTTTTTTTTTTTTTTTTTGAAAATACCTTTCCCAATTGTCTAGTGAAGCAACAGTAAATAATAAATAGGGCCAGGAGAGCGCTTCATTTGGTTTCTTGAGACTTTTTAAATTCAAATCAATACAAGTTTCAATAATATAGCTGAAATTTGCCGTTTTCTTTTTCATACGACATCTTTGTGTTCTGCCAGCTAATGTTTCTTGACGAGGTGTATTCCAATTTTTAGGAAGATGCAAAAAATACGTTATAAAGAGAGAATCGTACGAGAAATCATGAGCCGATATTATTTCTAAATTTAAAATAATTCGAAATGTATTTAATGGCACAAGTTCTAGTTTTGGATTTATTTTAAATTCTTTAAAATTTTGCACTTTTTGAAATTCCTGTAAAAAAAAAAAATTTTTTTTATTTAATAAATTGATTATATTTCACATTTTGGTAGAAATTTTTTATATTAGCAGGCCTCGAATTGACTTTAAGGCACACAAAAAAAAGTCATTACAGTAGATTTTTGTTTTTAATTAAATTTAATTACTATAATAAATATTTTACTTTAAATTTAATTAATTTAATTGCACAAGATTTTTAATCTGAAATAAATTTTCTGCAAATTTAAATTGCTGTAGTTTTTTTTTTTTTTTAAATTTCTGACAACAATTGAGTTTTAGGGTTTTTATTTGAAACTTTTTTAAATAATTGAATTTTTAAAGAAATATTAAAATCATTAAAAATAATTGATTTTCGAAAGAGTTACAATTGAAATTTTCAGAAATAATTGGATTTTAAACGATTTTGTTAAATTTCAGAAAATAATTAAATTTTACAAAATTCAAAATAATTTATCAAATAATTTTAGATACATAACTTTAAAAAAAAAAAATAATTTAATTTTCGAAGATTTAGAATTTTGACTCGAAAATAATTGAACTTGAAATGATTTTTTATTGAAATTTTAAGTGATTTTTGTTGATGAAGAATTTATTCGAAATTTTAGACAAAAAATTCAACTTTAAAAGTTTTTAATTAAAAAATGTTTTCATATAATTGAATTTTCAAAGAATATTATAAACATTATTAAAAATAATAGAATTTCTGAAGAGTTTATAGTTGAAATTATTAAATTTCAGAAAGTTTTATTTGAAAAATTTTAGAAATAATTAAATTTTAGAAGGCTTTAAAAATTGAATTTTTTTGAAAATATGTAATTGAATTTTGAGTGATTTTGAATTGAAAGTTTTAGTAAATTTTCATTTGTTCGAATTATTATTTGATATAATTTTCATATATAACCGATTTTTGCTACTGCAGAATTTTTACTTAACCGAAAAATCATTTAAAAGAATTTCTAATTGATAGAATTTTCATTTGTCGGAAAATTGCAAATGACTAAAAAAACAATCAACAGAAAGATTTCGGCGCGAGTTTTAAAATCAACTAATCAAAAATTATCCTTAAAATTGTGATTGATCGATTTTAAAAATCGCGCCGAAATCTTTCTGTCGATTGTTTTTTCGGTCATTTGCAATTTCGGACAAATGAAAATTCTATCAATTAGAAATTCTTTTAAATGATTTTTCGGTTAAATAAAAATTCTGTAGTATGAAAAATCGGTTACATACCATTTTTTTTATAACAATTATTGAATTTCATAAAAATTTTAATTGAAATATAGTTTAAAATAATTGAATTTGTGAAGAATTTCATTAAAATTATTGAAAATAATTAATTTAGAAAATAATTACAATTAAAAATTTGTTAATCAATTAAAATAAAAAAGATTTGAAAAATTTCTGAATTGTATACTAAAAAAGACGTATTTTATTTTAAAATTTTGTAAAAAACGAAAAAAGTATAATTCGAGGCATTTATTAGAAAAAATTTTTTCGAAATAAAAAAAATAAAGAGAATTATATTACTAACTTGTTTTAAAGTTTTTACAATTGTTTCCTCATCCTCTTCGGTGAGATCACATGATTCATGTGAAATCCAATAATCATAACCCATACCAGTACCAAAAATTCGATAATATCCTTCATTTGAAAAATCAGGATCAACTGTTAATAGTTTATGAATTTTATCATAAGTAATAGTACAAAGTAAATTTTCAGAATCTTTTGAATTACTTGGCTCCTCATTATTTGGACTGACATCGGCTAAAATATACATAATTTCACGTTCCGCATAAAAATAATGATTTGCATTTATTCTATCGTCATTTGGACTTTCGTCAATGACTTTTTTATTATAACGTTGTGAAAATGGTTTACGATTTCTCAAACACGGCATTGCATGTTCATTTTTAATAGCCAATGGCGATGTAAATGATCTTGTGAATAATGAATTATCTGGATAATAGAAATCATCATTAATTTTTGTATACAATCGACAGCCATCAATATTTTCATCAGAAATTTTTTGATGATAATTTTTTTGATGATCGGTAATACAATTTTTCTCATTGGATAAATATTTTATTTCAAATGGACTGAAAACTTTTTCCTGCCATGAGAATGTGTATTCTTCTTCTTCGAGAAAATTTGCATCGAGTGTTTCACGAGGATCATCAAAAAGATCATATATTGGTGATTTTTGTTGAGAAATTTTTATTCTGAAAAAAATTTATTATTATTATTGTTAATGATAACATAAATTGATAACATTAACTAAAAAAAAACAATAAATTCAATAGTGAAAATGTTTTTATATTGCTTTCTTAACGTTTTCTTATTATTAAGTATTTTATATAAGCGCGCGTTTTTTGACCTATAAGAGAATTGTCGTAGCGCAGGCGCAGTTGCGTTTAGGTAGGGTCATTGGCAACTCAAGATAACCCATCCCTGGTGGAACAGACGTTACTGAAGGTTAGGTTAGAAATATTTTTTCAATAATGTTAATAATTTTCTTAAGATTAAATAAATAAACTCACAGTTAGTAATAAATTCTTGAGAATCGTTAAATCAACATATATTATCCCTCCTATCCCCGTTAGCTATCACAATGGCGAATTTTGATAAGAATAGAAATTTGGTCGTCTCATCGAAACGAAGCAAGTCACAAATATTCAGCTTGATAGTAATCAATGGTAAAAGTGGACTATGGATCCTTGACTATTAATTATTATAGCAATATTCTAAATTATGACAACCTAACCTAAAAATTAGCGATCTTATTTGAAAAATTGTCAAAATAGATTCAATAAATTTCTTATTACGAACGCCCCTCCGACTATTCTACTTTTTCGGAATGATGTTACAAGAATTAGGGACATTTTTCCTTTTAAGTGAAAACTCCTTATTTTTACTTCGTACTTAATGCATTCACTTAATAATCTTTTTTTCTCGGGTGGAGAAAAATAAAAAAAACTCACGTTAGGAGGACAAAATTTCATAAAATCTCACCAATGGAGAGAGGGTCTAGATTTAACAAATTTGGAAAATTGATTTTTTCCTTTCTGGAGAGTATTAAATAGAAAAAATCCTTATTGTAAGAAATCAAAATTATCGTTTATAAGAATGAAATACTTTCTTTTTTTTTTAGTAAAAAAAGCATGGCGTGTGTATAATAAATGAAGGGTAGAATGACAAAAGGAGTCAAGCGCCAATTCACTGTTTTTACAGGAAGTAAAAAAAAACATTTTTAAAAATTTTGCAGGTCATTTAAAAAAAAACTGAGAAAACCGTTTCGATATATTAGTATGTTTTAATAAATAAACAACGATTTGTTGAAATAAACCTACATATTAACGATAAAATTAAAAAAAACTGTGGTGCCTTGAGGTTATTTCAACTGCGCACATTTTCTTTAAGCATTAATTATAAAAAAATATACAGTTAAAAGAAAAACTGGAAAATTAGTTTCTTTCTATGGAATCGACGAAATGAATAGAAAAAAAAATTCCTTAAAAAAATTGTTTGTTTTCAAGAAAATTACGAATTAATTGCTTGCTTTGGAATTGAGCAATACTTTCATCTTTAAATTCAATTGTTCACTTAGTATAATAATCATAAAAATATTTAAAAATTAATAACAAAATGATTTTAAAATTGTTTAAAATTGAAAATATATTATCATTATTATTAATTTTATTAATTAAAATATTATTAAAATAAAATTAAAATATTAAAATAAAACCTAAAAAATAATATTTTTTTTTATTTTGATAATATTATTGACTCATCACTTTCTTTTGTTTTTCAATCAGGTTGCAATAAAGTAAATTTGAGGCTATTTTATTAATTTAATTTTTATTAAAAACTGATTTAAATACGCAATAAAAAAGGAAATCCTTCTACAGAAATGTGTAAATGAATTTTCTTGATTTTTTTATGCAAAAACCTCATTTTCGATAAATTGGCGCTTGACCCCTTTTGTCATTCTACCCTTCAAATAAAATTATTTTTTCTGTATTAAAAAGAAAACATAAAATTTTACATATAAACCAAAGAAATAATAAATTAAAATATATAAGCAAAAAGAATGTTTATCACCTTAGTTTAAAGTTATTAATTGGTTGTTCAATTCGATATGTTCCTGCTATTTTCGGCTCTCCAGGATCATCTTCATCATCGAAGTTTGGTAACATTTTAATTTATTAATTTATACACTTATATATTTTTTAAACTATTTTTTATATCACCTATTATTTTTTATATATATTAGAGAAAAAAAGAAACTTATAACAATATATTGACTATCAAGTTATTTCTATTATGTATATTAGAAAATGTGGCGTGAATATTAGAAAATTTAATATTACCATAACGACCGGCACGACAAAACAAACGCTTACATGCGTTTTGAGCTGTATAGTCTGGAAACTCTCTAAGTGGGGAGAGATCAGTTTATAAGGATGGTTATAGTTCATCAAATTCCCACCACATATGATGTCGTCTATATAAATTTTGTTACCAATTTTTTTTAACTTTTCAAGTATAGTCTCAACCTTCACGCAGGTTTTTTTTTAATCTAAAAACCGTTTGAGAAATTTATTTTTAGATACCCAAGTATCACGTAATATTAGATTAATAATGAAATGTCCGCCTTATGGTAATATTACCGGTTAATATTACTTTAATATTCCAGTAATATTACTGCAATATTACAGTAATATTATCGGGCAATATTACTGTAATATTACAGTGACATTACAGTAATATTATTGTAATATTACACGTTTATTTGAAATACATAAAAATTTCAAATTTTTTTTATGATAAAACACAAAAAGATAAGAATTAATCAGTTAAATATTTTTAAGTGTTTTTTGAACTTTTTGTAATGTTACAGTAATATTACACGATAATATTACTGTAATATTACCGGTTGACATTGCTGTAATATTACCGGCAATATTACCATGAGGCGGAGATTTTTAACCTCAAACGGAATCTTAACCGAATGTCAACCGAATTTGGTTATAGCATAATCCGCCAGGGATAGGTTATACAATCATTTTGTTAATTAAAGTTTTGAGGAAAAATAAATTAAAATGATTAAAATTTTTAATCAATAAAAAATAGATGAAAGATTGAAAATATTTTTAATTAATAAATAATTTTAAATAATAAGAAAGAATTATTTATGGCATTTGGAATTTATAAATTAGTTCAAATAACTTTAACATCTATAATGACGAGGAGGGAATAATTATGTGTGTTTTTGTTGATTAATAAAAGAATTTCTTTTTTTTATTCTTGTTAATAATATTTATTTCATAAAATATTTAAAAAAGTATAAAAATATAAATTTACATTAATATTTTTCAATAATATATTCTAAAAGAAAGTTTAGATATAGGTTAGTTTCCATTGTTCCCACTCGTCATTTGTCATAATTCTCGTCAACTACCGCACCCTGCTCTAGTGAAAATTTAGTAACTATTAATATTAACAATAAAATCCCTAAATTTTCACTAGAGCAGGGTGCGGTAGTTGACGAGAATTATGACAAATGGCGACATTTTAAAAAGCCGTGACAATTCTATAATAATTTTATTAATTTATGTCGTATGTTGTAACCAATGTAGGTTGCTTTCCATTGTCTCCACTCGCGATTTGTCATAATTCTCGTGAACTACCGCACCCTGCTCTAGTAAAACTTTAGTGCCTTTCTTGTTAAAATTAAAAGTTACTATAAAGTTACTAAATTTTCACTAGAGCAGGAATACGGTACTCGACGAGAATTATAACAAATGGCGAGTGGGGATAATGGAAACCAAACATACACCACGAACTAATAAAATTATTATAGAAGTATCACGACTTTTCAAAATACTTCCAAACCAGAAGGTCAGTATTTATGCAATTAGGAAGAAATTAATTATTTAAAACCTTTTATATTTTTATAAAGTCTCCCCATTAGTGCTTCATATTGATTGCTTCCTCTATTTTGAAGATATAAATCATTAAAGTTATTGCCACGATTATTTTGTTGATTGCTTCCTAGATTTTGAAAATATCCACTATTAAAGCCATAAACACGATTTTGGTGATTGTCTCCTAGATTTTGTAGATGTCCATTATTAAAATTATACACACGATTTTGTTGATTGCTTCCTTCATTTTGTAAATGATCTTTATTACAATTGTTAACAAGAATTTGTTGATTGCTTCCTTGATTTTGAAAATGTACGTTATTAAAGTCATTCACATGATTTTGTTGATTGTTTCCTTTATTTTGAACATGTCCAATATTAAAGTGTATTACACGATTTTGTTGATTGCTTCCAAGATTTTGAAGATGACCATTATTAAAATTATTCTCACGACTTTGTTGATTGCTTCTTAGATTTTGAAGATTTCCATTATTGAAATTATTCTCACGATTTTGTTGATTATTTCTTATATTTTGAAAATTTTCGTTATTAAAGTTATAAATACGATTTTGTTGATTGTTTCCTTCAATTTGAAGGTGTTTTTTATTTAGGTCATTTAAACGATTTTCTTGATTGGTTCTTTCGTTTTGAATATTACCGTTATTAAAAAAATTGATACGATTTTGTTGATTGCTTCCTACATTATGAAGATGTCCTTTATTTGGGTTATTTACACGATTTTGTTGATTGTTTCCTACATTTTGAAAATGTCCGTTATTAAAGTAATACACACGATTTTGTTGATTGCTTCCTTCATTTTGAAGATTTCCTTTATTTGGGTCATTCAGACGATTTTGTTGATTGCTTTCTATATTTTGATGATGATTGTTATTAAAAACATTCCCACGATTTTGATGATTGCTTCCCTTATGTTGAAGATGACTATCATTAAAGTCACTTACACGATTTTGTTGTTGGCTTTCCTTATCTTGAATATGTCCAATATTAAAATTAATCACATGATTTTGTTGATTACGATTTTTTTTTACTTTCACACCATGTTGATCTTCCTCATTATTATGAGAATGATTCTTTTTCTCATACTCTTGTTTATCATTCTTCTTTAAATTTTTCTTCTTTTTTTCACGTTGACTATGATTATCTTCACTTTTGCCATGATTTTCTTCACTATAACCGTCATCATAAATTTTACGTTGCTTGTAAAATTCATCCCTATGGAATTTATTATTGTACGCCTTGGTCTTGTGACCTTTTTTATGACCTTCTCTTTCACTATATTTACCACCAATGTGACCATTTTCACCACCTTCTCCCTCCTTATGATAATGCTCTTCATAAATATTATCATTTTTCTCATCATCATCACTATCATATTTATGCTTTTTATGAGCTTGATTGTGTTTACCTTGACTTTTGTAGTCCTCATTACTTTCTTCACCATATTGTTTATGATGGTGATGATGACGCTTATTACCATCATTAGAATCAGAGGAATTATATTTATCATGACTAGTATTTGGTTGCACGTCAAAAGTTAAATTTTTCTGTTGAAGAATTTTTCCTTGATTTTGTAATTTAGAAACATGATTAACAATTTTTCGTGCTGACAATGAATAACCAAAGAATAAAATAATGATGTAAAAAAATATTGTTTTTTGTATCATTTTCAATGAACTTGTAGTGAGCAACACTGAGTAACAAAATAAAATCTGACAGATGCTTAAGTATTCGCCGAATATACTTCCGGAACTGTTATATTTGATCTTTCTATACTTTCTATCAATTGTATTCATGCGTTGAAATCAAATAAAAAGGAAGGGATTTTTCACGCTTTCACGCGCAAGAAATGTTTTATATTATAAAATAGAATTGTTTCTCGATTATGATTTTTTGATATTTGTGTGATATAATTATATATATTTCTTATTGTATACTACTACTTTTTATTTTTAATTTATTTTTACATTTTGGATGTTCTATTGTATATCATAAATTGCATAAATGCTGCGTCCTTCCGGTTTAACGACATTTTGAAAAGTCGTGACACTTCTATATATAATTTTATTAGTTCGTGGCATGATTTATCATACGCCATAAATTAATAAAATTATTGTAGAATTTTTATTTTGTTTATTTTTTATTTATTTCCTGTCTTTATTGTCTTTTTATAATTTTATATTTATATTTTGTGTTTTATTAATTTTTGAAGGAAAATTCAAAATTTTCAAAAATTGTTAAAAATCAATTATTTTTGAAAAAAAATTATTTTCCAGTGAAATTGAGTTTAGTATAACAGATTCTTTTATTTTTGTCTTTTTTTACTTATATTTTTCTAGACTCATTTTTGTCCATTTTTGTCTTATTTACAATATTTTATCTTTTAACATTATTTATTTTGTATATTTTTTTATTGACTTATTTTAATGTTTTCTTTTTTTTTATGGTGTGCTGTTAATTCCGCTTTGACATTGATAATCGATTTTATTATTTTTTAAAATTGATAACGCAGGATAACCGCAGAAATAGAATAACGTTTTTTTTAATTTTTTACCAATCCCACATAACCTTGGAGTGTGGAATTTGAGGTATCTGTATGCAGATTTCCCAAAAGTCCCTACGCAAAAAAAAATTAATAAATAAGCAAACGAATTATAGGTTATGTTTACGAAAGTTTTACCTCGATTTGAAAGTTCCTTTTTATTTACTCATATGAAATCTTTGTGTGTCTTTCTGTGTATTTTTACTTAAAAATTGTTAAAACATAACCTAAAATTTTTTGCTTCAGCTACCTTCCTTCCAGGGTTGCCAGATTAGGCGATTTAAAGTTCCATAAAAGGCGCATTTTATGGAACTTTAAATCGCCCAATCTGGCAACTCTGGAAGAAAGGTAGTTGAAGCAAAAAATTTTAGGTTATGTTTTAACAATTTTTAAGTAAAAATACACAGAAAGACATACAAAGATTTCATATGAGTAAATAAAAAATTGGTAAAATTATTTTTACATACCTGGAAAATACTAAGAATATTTTTCAAAAAGTTTTAGACTGGGCCTATAATATTTTCTGTTTAAATAATTTGTTTACAAAAATTTCTTTTCCTTTTTTTGTTTTTTTAGTTTTCAAAATAAAAAATTTTTTGACCGGTTCTTTCACTTTACTCATAGAAAAGCAAATTAAAAATTATTTTTTAAATTATTTTTTTTTTTAAATATATTGATAATTGTTTAGTCTAATGCTTTTTGTAATATTAAAAAAGTATATGTGACACGGACAGTTAAAAGGGACCTACGATCCGAAAAAAAGATTTCGAGAAAAACGACTTTGAAGTTTAGCAAGTTGATTTTGATGCTTGTGAACGTTTTAATGAATTGAAACTTGTTACTCGGGGGTTTTTGGGGTCGCTGATGACGATTATGATGTTAGTTTTTGAAAATTCAAAATGGCGGATGACTTTTTTAATAATTGATCAGTTTCGCTTGAAATTCGTCACTCGGGGGTTTTCGGGGTCGCTAATTACGAATATGATGTTAGTTTTTAAAAATTCAAAATGGCGGATCCAATATGGCGGATGAGTGTTTTAAAAATTGATCGGATTCGCTTGAAAATCGTTACTCAGGGGTTTTTGGGGTCGCTGATTACAAATATGATGTAATTTTTAAAAAATTTAAAATGGCGGATCCAATATGGAGGACAACATTTCAAATTTGTTCGAATTTGTGTAAAACTCAAAAATTTCGTTTGCTCATTTAAAAGACCATAATATATCTATTTGTATTAAAATCATACATTTAAAAATTCTGAAAAGCAAATCCGTATAATTTGTAAATAACTCATCCGCCATATTGGATCTGCCATTTTGAATTTTTAAAAACTAACATCGGATTCGTAATCAGCGAGCCCAAAATCCCCCGAGTAACGAATTTCAAGCGAATCCGATCAATTTTTAAAAAAGTCATCCGCCATACTGGATCCGCCATTTTGAATTATCAAAAACTAACAGCGGATTCGTAATCAGCGACCCCAAAAACCCCTGAGTAACGAGTTTCAAGCGAATTTGATTAATTTTAGAAAAGTTTGTCAAATTTGATTTTGTTGTACTTTTTTTTGTCAAAGTGCCTAACTTTGAAGTGAAATTGTTAAAAAAAACTAATGCAGCTAGAAAGCTGCGGTTTAATGCGTTGGAAAGAGCGGCTTATTTACTATAAGAATCAATAAAAAAATGAAAATCGATTTTTTCGGACCGTAGGTCCCTTTTAACTGTCCGTGTCACATATATAGATATTTATAAAAAATATTCTAGCAGTAACAGATTATTAATTTGTTTTGCAAACTTACTACAATAAAAATCATTTTTTCAGATTTTTCTGCCTTAATAAAACAAAAATTTACGATAAAAAAAATATAATTATTCTCTAAGTAGGTGCAAGTGAGGAAATTCGTTTTTTCACATAAGAAACAAATAATACTTTCTTTAAAAAATTATTATTCTTCAATATACATATTTACAAAAAAATTAAATTTCATTTTCATGTAGAATGAATATATTTTTCATTGATAAATTTACTGCTTTTATAAAGATCCTCGTCAGATTTTGTATCTGGAACAATGGATTTAACATAAATTTGAGAACCAAATTTATTTGGATGAGCAAATATCATTTCCATATGATCAACTCCTGGTGGTTGAATTCTTTTATAATGAATTGGTAGCATTTCGGCATCAGGTTCTATAATATGTGGCTTTTTAAAAATTTTATTCTTTTTTTTAATTTTTTTAATTGGTCGAATTGTTACGACTTCCTCTATAATCTCAAATGAATCCACAGGAATAATTTCATCAATTTCCAAAAATTCTTCTGATAAATTTTCTTCAATGTCAGTATCATTTTTCTCACTAACTGATATTGTTAATAAAAATAGTAATGTATAAAAAACTAAACACCAATTTTTGTACCATTTTTTCATTTTTAATTAGCCAATTTTTTTTAAAGAGTTTGCTTTAATTAAATTAGTATTTGATGATAAACATTTATAAATTTTGATGTAAGGTAAAATAATTATTTATTTGAGTATAGAAAGGTGCTATCTGTTATGCACTAGGCTATGGTAGTTGTTTAGCTCTTTTATACCTTTTAAATGTCAATTTTACATTGGTTATTTATATATATATTTTTTTTAAGAAGATTGTAAATTGCTTTATACATTGAGAAAGAGATTTCAACAATAATATTTCGATTAAAAAAAAAAAAATTATTTGTCACTATACAGTCTCAAGGATGATTGGTTAATTTCATGACACGTAGCATGGTCAGTAGTGCAAATCAAAAGTATAGCTATAGAAATCACTCGTGCAGATCAACATTCTTCAAACAGTATAGAAACGATTACAAAAGGATTGAAATTTACACGCGCACCGCATTTAGATGTAATACTTTTATGATATAGTGAAATATTTTCCTAATCAATATCTTGGATTACTTTTAATCTTAACTAGTCTAACCTTTAATTTTTCAAATAATAAACAATATATATTTAAATCATATTTATTTATACGTAATAATTTGGCTTGTAAAATAAATTTCTTTTCTATATTCTCAATATGCGATTTGCACGAGCAATTCTCCATTTTCATTTATACCACTTATACGTAATAATGACTAGCGCAAAAAAGAGTCATTTTATGAAATAAATCCCAACAAGAATAAGATAGAATAATTCTTTTTTTACTTTGTAATTCACTAGAAACTTGTTATTTGGAGGTTTTTGAGAACATTAATTAAAATTTTATTATCAGATTTGTAATTAGCGGCAAAAAAAAAATTGAGTAACAATTTTTAAGTGCATGAATGTGATGAAGTTAAAAAAAATCCGCTATATTGGAACCGCCATTTTGAATTCTGTAAATCTGATGTCAAATTCATAATCAGCGATCTTAAAAACCCCAGAGTAACGAATTTTCAGGAAAATAGTTCTACTTTTGAAAATTTCATCCGCCATATTGGATCTGCGATTTTGAATTTTGAGAAACTGACTTTAGATTCGTAATCAGCGATTCAAAAATCCCCAAATAACGTGTTTTCAGCTTTTTGTGCAACTTAACATAGGATTTTGTGTAGTGTAGGATTTTCGAGAGTAGAATATAGATGAAAACTAAATACAGTCGATCCTCGATAAGTGAGACTTGTCTAACTGAGAAACCTCTATAAGTGAGAAGAATTTTCAGGTCCCGTCATTTTTACATGCAAAAACCTTTATAAGTGAGAATCTGTAAGTGAGAATCATTTTTCTTGATTAGACCTCTGTAAGTGAGAAAAGCGCGCTATTCAGACCTCTATAACTGAGATTCTTTTCTATATTATAATTTTCTAAAAGTCAATATGAAATTAATAAACAGTAATTAAAATTTGATTAGACGTGTAAGAACAAAGGCTCTTTGTTCAAACTACAATTATACCTAGCATACAAAATAAACTTTAGTTTCAAAACGACTGTAATAAGAAGCGTTTGCGAATTGCTTTATTTCTAATATTCAAAATGTCGAAAAGTAAACTTAAATCTTTTTCATTAAGTGAAAAACTAAACATTATAAAAGAATTTGAAAGTGGAAAGAAACGAAATGTAATAGAAAGTGAATTTACAGATTTTTTGAATTTTCGACAAATATTAATGAATCAGTTTTTGAAAAAATTTATGAGCTTAAAAATCATGTTAAGAATTGCGCAACTAAAAAACAAACAGTAATAACAGACTTTTTTCATAAAGCTTAAAGCAATAACAATTTTTATTAAACTTGTTAAATAAATAATTATATATAATTTCTTATTACGTAAAAGTGAAACTTTAATTAACAAAACCCTTAAAAAGCCTCTATCAGTGCAATAACCTCTGTAAGTGAGAAAACCCACTCTTCGACCTTCATAAGTGAGAACCTGTCTTACTGAGAAACCTCGATAAGTGAGAAGAAATTTTCGGTCCCTTGGATTCTCACTTATCGAGGTTCGACTGCAATTCATGCAAACTTGCAGTAATACCAGCATATATACCATTTTTAAGAAAGTTAATATTTTTAATATAATTTTAATAATATATTTGTTATTTCATCAAGTTTAAAGTATCGTTTCTATTTTAATAGACACTAATATCCCCCACAGCACCGAAAATTTCCTGAAAATTTCCTAAAGATTTATTTGCAAACTTCGGAAACTTTAATTGCAAAGTTTAGAGAAAATTGTATAAAGATTTAAATGTCCAAAATGAATAAATGTTTGGCGTAAAACTTGACGGAAGATTTAAATTAAATTTTCCAGAAATTTTCGACGCGAAAATTGAGTGAAGATTTAAATTAAAGTTTCGTGAAATGTTTGGCGTAAAAGTTGACTAAAAATTTAAATTAAATATTTATTAAAAATTTATACCGAATGTTGAGTGAAAATGTAATTTAAATATTCAGTCAATTTTTGTGACGAACATTTCCTAAAAATTTAAATTAAATTTTCAGAAAAGGTTGGACGAAAATATTTGTAAAAAATAATATTTAAGAAGTATTAATATTATTATTAATATTAATAATAATAATAGATAGATAGATAGATAGATCTTTATTATTATTATTATTATTATTATTATTATTATTATTATTATTATTATTATTATTATTATTATTATTATTATTATTATTATTATTATTATTATTATTATTATTATTATTATTATTATTATTATTATTATTATCAATAAAAAAATTTACTATCTGGGATTAAAAATAAAATAAATAATATACAAACATTGTTGCTCTGCTTTGATTCACATTGAATCAAGCACTGCATTCTTGTTGAGCAAGAACTTTTGAAAACAAATTATGGGGTGCTGGGGATTGAACCTACATTCGCCGCGCGCTAGCTAAAGACCCTAACCACTACACTACAGATATCTGACTGAAAAAAAAAATCTTCCACACACTCTACAACTTTCTGATAGACAAGTGATCCTACTTATCGACTCAAAAGTCGATAATATAAAGTTGTAGAGTGTGTGGAAGATTTTTTTTTTTTCAGTCAGATATCTGTAGTGTAGTGCTTAGGGTCTTTAGCTAGCGCGCGGCGAATGTAGGTTCAATCCCCAGCACCCCATAATTTGTTTTCAAATGTTCTTGCTCAACAAGCATGCAGTGCTTGATTCAATGTGAATCAAAGCAGAGCAACAATGTTTGTATATTATTTATTTTATTTTTAATCCCAGATAGTAAATTTTTTTATTGATAATAATAATAATAATAATAATAATAAAGATCTATCTATCTATCTATCTATCTATTATTATTAATATTAATAATAATATTAATACTTCTTAAATATTATTTTTGTATTTTTTACAAATATTTTCGTCCAACCTTTTCTGAAAATTTAATTTAAATTTTTAGGAAATGTTCGTCACAAAAATTGACTGAATATTTAAATTACATTTTCACTCAACATTCGGTATAAATTTTTAATAAATATTTAATTTAAATTTTTAGTCAACTTTTACGCCAAACATTTCACGAAACTTTAATTTAAATCTTCACTCAATTTTCGCGTCGAAAATTTCTGGAAAATTTAATTTAAATCTTCCGTCAAGTTTTACGCCAAACATTTATTCATTTTGGACATTTAAATCTTTATACAATTTTCTCTAAACTTTGCAATTAAAGTTTCCGAAGTTTGCAAATAAATCTTTAGGAAATTTTCAGGAAATTTTCGGTGCTGTGGAGGTAGTGATTTAACAAAAAGAATTAAATCATTATTTCATTTACACTTTTATTATTTTATCATTAAAGTCGGATTTGGGTTGTACATCACAGTAATTGGGACATTTACCTTATTACGTTGTAATTATTGGTTTTGGACAAAATATCCTGAATAACGTTAACATTCAATTTTCCCGTAGCAGGATCAATTTGGTCTATAAAAACATTTCTATGTCGAAGGAGATAATAATTGTGTAGATTTCCAAAATGGCAATATTCTACGATGACTAAAAGTTCATCTTAAAAAGAAAGATAAATTTTAAAGCAAAATACATTTTTACTTTTCTTCTTGTTTCTGATTATTCTTTATTTCTTCTTTTTGTATTTGCCCCATCTTATGCCCCATTTATTATATGAAAAAGGGGAATAAAAGTTTTTCTTTTAAAAGTATGAAATGCAGCAGGAACAGTAGTTTTGAAATTGAAAGAACGCAATTTCCTCTTTGCCAAAAAAGAAAAATAAATAAAAACCAACAATGTTGTTATCGGTATATCTGATGTCATCGCAAATAACTCTACTAGAAAATTCCACATGGGATTTTTTGCAAATAAAAAAAAAAAAATGTTTTGAGTATTAAAATTTTTCAAATATCACTTTTTGAATAATTATTTTTTATCGGAATTGTTCATTTTTACTTTAGAATTTAATGGTGGGAAACGACATTAGAAGGCTGATGATTTTTAGGCATTATTTTAATATTAAAAACATTCTTAAAAATTTTTTTTATTAAATTACATGTCATTAATATAACAGTCAATATTTTACAATAGATGAATATATAACATAATAACAATAACAAAATTATATAATAATGTATGTTTTCTTTGTTGAATAACAGTCAATATTTAATGAAACAAATTTTAACAAATTAAAATAAATTTTTTAATTATGAGATAATAGAATTAAAAAATTGAATTTAGTGTCCTTTCTTAAAATGCCACTTTTTATGATCTTCGTGTCCACCTTTCTTGCCATGACTATGATGATGATGATGATGATCATGATGACCTTTCTCATCTTTATGACCTTTATGATCATGATGATGTTTTCCTTTATGATGATGACCCTTCTCACCATGATGTTTTTCATGATGACCCTTATGATGATGTCCTTTTTTATGATGATGTCCCTTTTTATGCTTATGCTCATGATGATCACCACCATGATGCTCCTCATGTCCATCGTCATGATGTTCATCGTGGAAATGTTTATTTTTTTTAAATTCATCTAATTTCTTAATTTCATGATGTCCCTTTGTACTGTGTCCCTTACCATAATGTCCTTTCTCATGAAATTTATGGCCTTTCTCACCTTTTTCACCTTTATGATGATGATGATGATAACCATCATCATGATGATGATGTTTCTTATCACCGCCATGCTCATCAAAATGATGATGATGATGATCCTTGTCGTGATGACCCTTTTCACCTTTTTCATGATGATGATCACCTTCATAACCCTTGTGGCCTTTTTCATGATTTTCATGATGATGATCCTCATGATGTTCATCGCCACCACCTTTCTCATGATGATGATCAGACGCTGCTGTTTCAAGATCACGTTGTATTTCAACATTTCTTGCCGATGTTATTGTTATTAATAGAATATATATTAATCCAAATAGAAAAAAGCCACGAAGTGCCATTTTTGAAATCTTTGACTAGTGTTGTCGTTGATAACGCGATAATCTAATGACTTTGATATATCTGTGTCTTGTGTTATTTATACTGTTAAATTTTCTTTTTTTTTGGATCTTATTTTCTCTACGGTGGGGTATATGCTTTCGATGTAGAAAAAGATTTTGCAGAAATTTCAAGTGGGATTTAATGTCTTACAAAAGAGAATTTCTTTTTATATTTGATATGGTATTGTTTCGATCTGTGAAAGTCGATGCTTTCACGCTTCCCTAACTCCTTAAGTAAATAGTTGTGTAATTTACATGGTTATTAGAAGTTCATGTTACATAATTTTTTTTTTTTTCATTTCCATAGCCTGAAAGTGTAATTAAAATCCAATATTTAAATGTCGTATTTATTTAATGATAAGTTTTTTTAAAAATTTATTTATTGTTTACATATTGCAAAAGATTTTTAAAAGAATTTTTTTTAATTATTCATAATTGACCGATAAAAAAACAAATTTGTCAAAAAAAATGTCGATATAACCGAATTTTGAATGAATCGAATCAATTTAAAATTTTTCCGCCATATTGGAACCGCCATTTTTAATTTTTTAAAAACTGACTTCAAATTTGGATTCAGCGACCCGAAAAATCCCCTAGTACCGAATTTTGAATGAATCGAATCAATTTTAAATTTTTCCGCCATATTGGGTCCGCCATTTTGATTTTTTAAAATCTGACCTCAAATTTGGATTCAGCGACCCCAAAAACCCTAAAGAAACCATTTTCATGCAAATCTGGTCAATTTAAAAATTTTTTTTCGACGACATATTGGGTCCGCCATTTTGAATTTTGCAAATCTGACATCAAATTCATATTCAGCGACCCAAAAACCTTAATATACCCATTGACATTGAAATCGAATTATGTTTAGTATTTTTTTTTAAGATGGACATATGTGTGACGCTTCGCGACAAAAGGTACCTAAGCTTCAAAAATTTTTAGGTTATATTTTTGATTTTTGAAGTCAAAATACATAAAGATGGTCAACTCGTTATACAAACCACTGATATTTATGTCTTTATTACATGTAAAATATTCAATAAAATGCATTTTTGATTTTGCTTAATTAAAATAGAACATTTTATTTAGATAAAACTATCACTAAATATAACCTAAAAATTTTAGAAGCTTAGGTACCATTTGTCGAAAAATAAAATTTCAATTGGCAAAAAGAGAGTGAAAAAAAATCAATTTTTGAGGTAAAATTTGTACTCCGTAACATGAAAATTTTCCGTTGAACATAAATGTAAAAATTGTATTCAATTTGAAATTTAGGTTATTTAACATTTGTTAATTACTCTAGGTTGGTTTCCATTATGTTCCCACACGCTATTTGTCATAATTCTCGTCAAATACCGCACCCTGCTTTAGTGAAAATTTAGTCACTTTATTGTTAAAACTAAAAGTTACTAAATTTTTACTAGAGCAGGGTGCGGTAGTTGAGGAGAATTATGACAAATGGCGAGTGGGGACAATAGAAACCAACTACACTTTTATGAAATCTAGTGAATGTTTAGTAAATTTCTATAGTAATTTTCAAAAAATTTTGGTTGTAACTAGAAATACATCGGTTGGTTTCCATTGTCCCGACTCGCTATTTGTCATAATTCTCGTCAACTACCGCACCCTGCTTTAGTAAAAATTTAGTAACTTTATAGTAACTTTTAGTTTTAACAAGAAAATCACTAAAATTTTATTAGAGCAGGGTGCGGTAGTTGACGAGAATTATGACAAATGCCTGGCGAGTGGAGACAATGGAAACCAACCAAACATTTAGCCGTTCACACTATAATGAAATCTAGTGAATGTTTAGTAACTTTCTAGTAATTTTCCAAAAATTTTGGTTGTTACTAGAAAGTTACTAAATATTCACTAGATTGCATTGAACTTTGAACGTACACATCCCTGTTTACAAATATTTAACTAAGAATTCAAGGTTTTTATTCAGATTCAAAAGACTTAGTTATTTTTTTTTCCTTTTTAGTAAATATCATTTCAATAAGTTTTTCTCATTAATTGATTCGCTTCTATATATGGGTTTATAATTAATTGCACATAAATATATATTAAGGTTACCTTTTTACTTACTAAAAAATTGGACATTTCACTGCAACTCTTTTGTTTTTTTTGTTTTTTTTTTTTTTTTTTGTTCAATCGTCCGAAACAATAGTTTGCGAAATGATTGTCTCTCTCTCATTGTAAAATAAGTCTGGGCTAAAGTAAAAGAAAACAGACGAAAGCGATTACGTCGATATAAATATAAAGGCGTCAATGGCTATATAAGCTTTAGATCAGAAACAATTCTTAGTCAGTTAATTCATTTTGATATAATACATAAAGTTTCACACAGCATGGCTGGGATGACAGGGATAAGACTCTGCATCACACTAGCTGTGCTATGCGCAATAATTGCTATTTGTAGAGGAAGGGAAATAAAATTTGATAATGATTTGGAAATAGCTGCAAGTCATCATAAGGAACATCATGGCGAACATGGCGGTGGTGATGAACATCATAAACATCATCACGATGAACATGGTGAAAAAGGACACAAAGGTTATCATCATCATCATCATCACGATAAGGGTGATCATGGACATCATGGTAAAGAACATCACGAAGGTGAACATCATGAGCATGAGGGTCACAAAAAACATCATCACGACGAGCATGGTGAACATGGTGAACATCATGAACATGGTCATGGTCACAAGGGACATAAGCATGGACATAAAAAAGGACACAAGAAAGGAGAAAAAACACATGGTTATCATAAAAAGGAACATAAAGATGAATATCACAAGGAACATAAATTTTATGATGATCAACATAAGGGTGGTCATCATGAGAAACATGGACATCATAATGAACATCATGGTGATAAAGAAGGACATCATAAAAAAGGTGGTCATCATCATTCTGGACATCATGAACATCATCATGGTAAAAAGGGACATCACGATAAGGGACATCATGATCATCATCATCATGGTCATCATGGTAAACATGGACATGAAAAACATCATCATCATCATGAGGATCATGGAAAGAAAGGACATCATCATCATGGCAAAAAATTCGGTTATCACAAGGGTCATCATTAATTGTTTTTGTTTTTGTTGTTGTTCTTTTTTTCTAACAAAAAAAGTACAATATATGTAAATTTTTTGTGAATGTTTGATTTTTTTTAATCTCTGATTGATTTACACATGTTTATTTAATTGTTTACATATATATATATATATATGTATAATAGCCATCATTGTTGAATATATTAAGTAAATTAACATATATTAAATTAATTTAAATAAAGTCGTTTAATTTTTAATTGTTGACAACAAACGAAATAAAATAATATATAGTTAATTATTGATAACACCTTATCACTATTATTTAAATAAAGAATGAAAATTATTAATTATTATTAATTATTATTTAATGATCGATATTATCAAAATAGTTACAAATTTAATCAATTAAAAAAATTTTTGGCCGCCATATTGTATCCGCCATTTTGAATTTTTTTTAAATCTGCAATGAAATTTGGATTTCACCCAAAAAAAACTACTCCGAGTAATAAGTTTGTTATTATTATTATTATTATTATTATTTGACAAATCACATGGAGATTTTTAAAATTCAAAATCCGATATGGCGAACACAAAATTTTTATAATTAATCAATTTTTATAAAACTTGGTATCTATGGATTTTTAGGGTCGCTGATTATGAATCTAAATTGATTTTTCACAAATTAAAAATATCAAATCCAATTGGGAAGAAACATTTTTGAATTATATTTTGATTTTTATAAATTTTTGTAGTGGTTCAATTTAAAAAAAAAGTTTCCATAATATATTGAATTTGACTTTTTGAATTTGGAAAATGTGTCATCAAAATTCGTAATTACTGACATAAAAAAATCCTAAATACTAATTTGTAAAATAAGCGAATCAGTTGTTTTTGAAATCGTCAGCCATATTGGATCCACCATTTTGAATTTTTGAAAACAGACAGCAAATTCGTATTCAGCTGCTCTAAAATTATATCAAGTTTTTTTTCATTCTAGAAATGATTTTAAAATTGAATAACAGATAATATGTAACGATAAAAAAAATGCAAAATCGTGAAAGTAGTAATTATTTTTATTTCTTTAAATATAAATTATTTAAATATTTTTTTATTATTAAATTCTTTTGAAAATAATAATATACAATAGATCAAAAAAATCATTGTAAAAATCGATATAAAAACAATAATAATTTATGTTAATTCACAAAAAAAAAATTTTATAACAATAATTTGTATAAATTTTCCAATTACGTGAAATTCTTTAAGTTTTTTTTTTTATTTATTGTTTTGAACAAAAAAAAATGTGTATTGCATGAAAAACTGTTGAATATTAGAAAAATATTGACACTTTTCACAATAATGTTTTACTCACCTTAGAATTTATTATATTTAAGAACAAAAAAGAAAATATTTCCTAAAAATTTTTAGAAAATATTTTTTTTTGTTATGAGAATTTAATAAAATATTTAATTAAATGAAAATAATAATAATTATCGTTATTATTCATATAATAATAATTATTGTAATTAATATAATAATAATATTTAATTATAATATTTAATTTTATATTTAATAAATAAATTACTAAAAATATTTAAAAATTTAATTATTAACACCTTGATTTTTTAAGGATTCATGTATTTATAAACTTTTTGTCTTATATTGAATTTATAATTAAATAAACTATTTCATCGTAATTTTATATTATACTAAAATTAGACCTTTCATCCTAATTATCTTAAAAACTATAACGTATCTACATTTATTCTTCGTGAGATCTTTTTTTTGATATATTATTACATAACACAAACAGCCTTTGCCTCTAATCAATTTTCTTCGGCTATTTAATTTTCTAAAAGGAGACGCGAATCACTGATGCGTAACACACAGCGTCCAATATGATTTTACGTCCATAAAAAAATGTTATATTTTCAGAAAGTAAGGGATTAAAAAAAAATTCTCATGTCTAGACATTTTTTTGTTAATTAATTAATTTAATGATTTTTCTTTTAATTCAGTATATGAAATAAAATAATAATTAAATGTTAATAAAAATAATTGCTGACAGTAAAAATTGAATTAAACATCAAAATAGAATGTATAAACAATAATTATTAATTTAATAAGATGGAAAAGTTGTTGATATTATAATATTTATTAATATAAATTTATTTACATTATATATATTTATGATTTTTGCTTTACTATTTATTTATTTATTTATATAAGCGGGAAAAATTATTATTACTATTATATTATTATTTATTTATTTAATATATCTGTTCATTTATTTCCAACATTAACGCAGAAATTTTCGAAAATAAATTTGCAGGGACGGGGGATTGAACACGAGTTCGCCGCGTAGAAATCAACAACGTACCCAACTAACCTAACCAATCAGTTGCAAAAAAAATTGAGTTTTGCTATCTCTTAAGCTGCAAGTGATCTCCCATTGGTTAACACGTGATTGACTAAAACGGCGGGCTAATTCAAAAATGGTTTCAATGAAACATTTGAATATTCGCATTTATAATAATTAATTCAATTATCATATAATCTCTAATTAATTAAAAGTTCATACAAATAAATTTTTAATACTGTAAATTATGTAAAAAAAATGATTAAACATCACTTTAATTTATTTTTTAAAAGAAAAACTATTAATTAAATATTATTATTATTTAATTTATTATATTATTATTTAATTAAATAAATAAATTAAAATATTAAATCTAAAATAATTTAATGTATTAATTTATTTTTATTTGATTCAAATATCAAATTTTTAAATTCGCTTACAAGAATTTCTGGACCTGAAAGAATATTTGTTCTATATACATAGACTGAAAAAAAATTTATTTGGATCAAATAAAAATTTATTTTGAATCAAATTAAAATTATTTAGTTTCAATTAAAATTATTTAGTTTAAATTAAAATTATTTAGTTCAAATAAAAATTATTTGGTCCAAATAATTTCTTTTTTCCGTGTAAGTAGAATAAAAATTGTCTCAATAAAAATACTAATTTCGACATAAACGACACGACCTTCATCGTTAAATTAGCAATAGTTCGTTGATACTTAACTATTACCGTAAGAAAGACTTTTTTTTTTGCTTTCCAACACTTGATCGTTATAAATTTCTATATATATATATAAGAAAAGCGAAAGTAAATTTCACAATTTTTGTTCTTCTCAATTAATTATCTATAAATCAAGTGTATAGTTAATAATATTTCCGGAAATAGAAATTAACTTACTAAAAGAAAGTTTCCTATTTTTTTGGAATCATTTCAAGAAGAGATAGATATTGTTAATTTTTTTTTACAAATATATATATATTATTGACAAATTTTAAATAGATTGCACAACTATTTATGTTATTGAAAAGTGACATTACTATTTTTAAAAACAGGTTAAGGAGAGACTGTCGCAATTTGTTCAGCAAATTCAAGGAGATAGGTCCAAGGAGATTTTTGCTTCTTTAATATTCTCCCTTTATTTAAATTTCTACACTTGAGTTATTTTCACTATAAATATATCTATAAAATTACAATCAATTCAATGAAATTTGTCACACTGATGAAAGTTCTCAACACGATTACATTATATCAATAAGTTTTTCTTACATAAAAATGAATTCATTTGTAATATTTCATTTATTGTGCATTGCATTAGTGCAATCATTAGGAATTTTCAACTTAATTGATGATTTAAAATTCGAAGCATCTGAAAATAATAATAATTGGGAAAAAGGAGATGGTGGAGAACATCAAAGTGATTATAATTTAGTGAAAGGGGAAAAAATAAATAATGCCTATGACATTATTAAGCATTATGATAAAGGTGAAATGGAACATAATGATAATAGTCAACATCATGATCATTACAGTGATGATGATAGTGATAAAAAAAAATATTATCATAATAATGGTTATTTTGCTGTTCAACACAAGGGACAGGAAAGTGAAAAGGGACATGAATTTCACGATGAAGGAAATTATGCAAAAGGACACAGTATCAAGGGACATCATGAAGTTCATAAATTAGATGAATATAAAAAGCATACGGATTTTTATGATGAAAATTATGATCATGGTCATCATGAGGATGATGAGGCTGATTATAATGAAAAGGAACATGAAACTGGAGGTCATTATAAAAAGGAAAATCTCGATAGTGGATATCAAGAAGCTCATAAGGAAAACAAGGGTCATTATGAAAATGGACAGCATCATAATGTTCATAAAGGACATGTGGATGAAGGTGGTCATGATAAACATCATCAAAATCATCAATTATTTAATAATAATGACGGTAATAAAGGTTATAAAAAATGGTATTTCGAAATAGTACACTAAATTAATTATTGAGTTTTCATTGTTTTTGTAAAAAAAAAAAAAAATTCTATTAAATTGTTTTGTTTAAAGAAAATAAAAAATTTGGTATTTATTTTTATTTATTGTTAATTCGTCATCGTTTGGTTAATTCAACTTGTTTGCTTCTTGATTTCTTTGGTCAGAAATTCCCTTTGGTTTTTTTTTCAATGTAAAAAATAAATTAAGTATTGATCGGGTTTATTTTTATTAGTAATCGTTAATACAATTTAATACTGAAATAAACCTAAGAATAATCTTTATAATTGTAATATTTAGAAATTTGTGAAATGTTATAATGTTATAAATATTTTCCTCTTGTACAGAACATAAGCAATCACAATCCACAATCCTACGCACCAAAATGATTCAGCCAATAACAACTCATGGGTTTTCATTTTTCCGAATTTCCAATGAAATGGAAAAATTTTATAACAAACCATATGTCCAATGTACATTACCAAAGCATTCATTCCTGAAAAACATGATTTTTGTAAAAAATATAAATAATTAATCATTAGTTATCTACTTACCAGGAATGCGAAATGGTCCTCCTCGCCAAATTTTAACAACGTCGACCAAAAGATAACATATGCAAAGCAAACACAGTGCAAAGGACGTTGTGACAAAAACAAAAGAAAGTGACCTAAAAATATTTGTATTTTTTTTTATCGTTATTAACATATTAGTCATGTTATCTTACCATAAATGTTTATTTATTGGAATAATGTCATTTAAATGAAGAATACATCCCACTATTCCAAGAATTAAAGCCCATGAAAACCATCTTAAAATTCTTTGTTTCCAATCTCGATAGTAAAGAATAGTCTGTCCGGATTGAATGCCTAAAAATACTTGGAAAATAGACGTAAGGCAACCTATAAGCAAAGATTTTTTTGTAACAAAAAAATAGTTTTATTAAAAATCTGCTATTTTTTGGAGGGGACGAAGGATAAGAGAAAAAATACAGATTATGTAGCTAAATAATTTACTAAATCAGCAAATTTTTACTTTATAGATTTAGGAGCATTATTATATAATCATAAAAATCAAATTATTACCAAGAATTCCTTCAGGATCAAATGGTTCAGATCCATAAACTGAACGTATCTCTGGCCATTGGAAAACATGATTTACACCCATTAATGTTTTGTCAATATATCCTGCAGAACCACCAGTGCAATTTATATACTTTCCATTTGCATGTTGTCCACCTGGACCTAAGTAACCCCTAGAAGTATTTCTTTTTCATTAAGTAAGTCAAAAATAGCGAAATTATTTTCTATACCTACCTAGGGCATTCGGGAATAGAAAGTTTAAATGTAATTAAGGAATGAATGATGACGATGCAAATAATAATAATCCATTGTATCCATAATGAAATGATATCAGCAAAGTTTTTGAAAATATCTTTCTGTAATAATAGATAAATGTAAAAAGAGATGATATAGCATGTAAGAAAATTGCATAAAAAGTCTTACCATGGAAGTGTCACGTCACCGTAACTTTAATATTCGATATTATAAGAATTCTTAAATCTATACCGAGTTGCGTTTTTCTTGCAACAAACCCCCTTGTTTTTGTTACGCATCTAAATACTTTTTTCTTAAATGTTAAATTTCCGCCCTTTTGTCGCGCAACTAAACATCTTTCTTTTATATATATAAAAGACCCCTGCGTTTTGTATCCTTCTACGTCTATATACTGTATTTCTAAAAACATACAAATAGAAGCGAGAAATCTTTTATGACACTAGAAGAGCTCACATCCCCACGAAACAAAATGCTCTCTTTATAATTTTTCCTATGTGCTAAAATTAGACGATATGTAATAAATGCTCTCTTTCTAATTTTCCTATGTGACGAACCCCTGTGGTATCACCACATTAAAAGACCACAAACACTCTTCTACAGCTGCGAATAACCGTAGTCGTACTCTTTCTATCTTGTATTAGAATGGTTCACACCCCCCCCTTTTTTTACGTTAAACTGAGAGAGAAGGACTCAACTTTCGCTTCCAAAATAAGGGTGAAAAATATTTAGTACGACAATAAAATTTTATCTATTCTCTTACGAAAATTCAGTATAAAAGGACTACATTTTCACGGAGAGACCATCAGTTCTGAAATCCTCTTCATACGTATAACATCAAGCTCATTTTTGGTACCAGTCGACGTCTTCTAGTTCAAGTGCATAATTTTCTTATACGAAAGTTAAAATCAAGTGTCAAAACCCTCTACATTAAACGAGGATATTTACTTCTTCATGTAAAATGTATATTTGATAAATAAACAATCTATTATCAAAAAAAAAAAAAAAAAGGATATTTACTTCTCATTATATTGGGCAATTATCCATTCTTCCTTTTTTTTAAAAGAGACTCATTATTGGGAGTTTCATCACGCCTAATAGAACTCCGGACCTGCGGTTATACCTGGGCCCGTCAACCTACCTGACGTCATAAACTCACGCTGGTACCAGCTCTTTTCCTGTGACAAAAAAAGAACACAGCAGTGGTCCTTTTTCTTTCAACACACCTACTACTGAATTTTAAGGTAAGTGTTTTATATTCTCACTCCTAACTTTTCTAAACTTGTCGTTTATTTGTAGTAACCCTTGCATTCCTTGTTGCAGTGGAATGCTGACTTCCCCCTATTTCAAGAATGGTTGCTTCAGGATACTCTCTATCAAAGAACAATTTTATAACTCTAAATGATTGTCTAAATAAATTTGTAACCTTGTCATTAAAAATCACTATTCTCTTTCTTTCCTGTACCCTTAGCTCAGAGCCTTCTGCTCTGTAAATGAAACAGGAATTCACTGAATCACCGTGCGGCCATAAATAAAATAAAATGTTATTTCGTTAGTTATTTCTCTATTTGAGACGTAACAGATATTTGTTAATTAAATATAATTACTTAACTAAGTTCCCTTACTTCTTCTTTTGTTCTCGAACTTTGAAGAGCGTATATACAACCACTAATTAGATATGCAACGCTAAATCTTTGAAGTACTCCAAAAATTCGAATATCCTCTAATTGAGATCCATTTACAAGAGTATTTAAAGATATTCCAATGAGAAAGAGCCAAATACTGCGCTGCGTAAAAGAAAGATTAACATTTTTTAAAATGCAAAAATAATAGTAAAGTATCATTTCGAAAAAAGTAGAATTGATTTTCCAAGTGGTTTGCTATCTGAGTTCAACTATAATTATTCCTATTGATGGTAATAGATATCTTTTCCTTTCTTAAGAGTTATAAACTAATTTATCAAATTTGGAATAATTCGTCATCTGAATTTTAAATAACCGGAATTAAATACCTTAACAATAGATACACAGATTTTCAATCTGGAAACACCTCGGGAAAGTTGAGAGAATAAAGATATAGGAATACAGACACCCATAATCCAGAGAAAGCAAGGAAATACGAAATCACCAATTCGTAATCCATCCCATGTTGCATGTTCCAAAAGAGGAAAACCTCCAGCTCCATTATTTACAAATATCATATAAATTATACTGATCCTAGTACAAATTATAATCTTCACAATAAAAATTTTTAATTCCAATTTTTAAGAATTCATTATTATTTTACTCACCCTCTGAACGTGTCAATAGCTTTAACACGATTTTTAATTGATTTTTCTGGTTTATTAGTCATTTCCGATTTATGATAAATTTTTAGCAAAGCTTTCGTTAAATAATTCACAAGTGACAAACCAAGGAGAAGGCTCATAACGATTCCAATTGCAATAGCAAGTGCTGTATATTAAATTTTATTATTTTTGTTTGGTAAAAATAATAGTAAAATATATAAAAAAAAATCATATTTATTACTGAAAATCAATTTATTATACTTACAAATGTAGGCATTTGTAGGATGTTTAATGGTTTCAATCCTACAATTTGTGTCATTAATTATTAACTCATACTGTCCAAATTGTCCAAGTTTGGAATCCAATTGACATAGGACATTTCTGATAATAAAGAAGTTTTAAAAATATTTATATTCAAAGACTGTAATATCCTTTAAAAAGAATAATTAAGATTTACAATGAAAATTAATACTAATGAGAGGAAAGTAAAAAATCGTCCGATTTCTAATTGATTAGACGCGTAAGAACTCTCTCTCTGTCCTAGGTTTAAGAATTCATTGACAAAAAAACATAACCTAATTTAGTAGTATAACAAAGGATAATTATTTAATCAGCTGTTACATCCCGAGCGAAAGGCGAGGTTGAATTTAATTTCAATTAATAAAATCAATTCTATTTTCTACAAAGCATATCCTCAGAAATTTTAGTATAAAAATCGTAGAAAATTGTAAGAATCTCAGTACTGAATTCGTCATCATAACTTCTAAATCTCTAATTTTTTCGGGCACCCAGTTTCTTAAGGTTCACCAGGTTCGTTTGGAAAGGCTTGGAAGTAGAAAAAGAAGCGCTTCAAATGTTTCTAATGTCATCAGCGGAAGAACATTTATTCCGTCGGAACTATACAACGAGACAATCGAAGAAAAACGCGAGAATTGTGTTTAAAGCTTAGGTAGGTGGAACCTCAGTATCTTTAAAGGATCAAAGAGGACATCGCCAAGATGGTAAATTCTCGCAAAGTCCTGAAGAATGTCAACATTACTATTGATGACGGACTTAAGAATCTTTAGGGTCTTGTCAGTGAGGAGAAGATAACCCTTGTCAGGAAGATTGCGAAGGTGTCGGTAGCACTGAATCCTAAAAAAACAGTAAGAAGAAAGCGACGAGTAGATCTACAATAGTGATTCGACTTACAACAGGAACAACGTATACCGACGTACTGAGCAAACTTCGAAGGGAAGTGAATCAAGACGTCAGCCATACACAGGTCGTAGGTGCAAGACTAACAAAAAAGGGAGATCTCCTGATCAGAATCGGAGCAGACTCCAATAAGGAGGCATTAACCGCTGATGTCACCAAAGCAGTTGGAAGCATGGGCAAGGTGCAGAATGTGGATCGATAGGCCACATTGGTGATGCGCGACCTGGATTGCCTTACCCAGGAAGAAGAGGTTCAACAGACGTTGGCGGAAGTGCTCCAGAAGCCAGGAAGCAGGAACGTGATGGTCCTAGGACCCAACCAACGAGGAATGAAGCTTGCAGTTTCAGTAACCAACTCAGAGGAGGCGGACAGGCTGGAGAATTTGGGATGCATAAGGATTCGCTTTATGTATTACCCTTAAAAAAAAGGGTGATGATCATTTGTTGCCACTGAAGCTTGAAGTACGGTCACATAGGAAGAGTTTGTAAGGCAGCGGACTGATCGACTGCGTGCTTCAAGTGTGATGAAGTCGATCATAAGTTTGCAAACTGCAGTAGAAACCCAAACTGCTTTTTATGTAGAGAAAAGTATGGCGATAAGGCGAACATTAGCCATATCGCAGGCAGCGGAGTATGCGAAGTCTTTAGGACGGCCTTTGAGGAGTCCAAGAAGACTCTCGCACGAACGAAGAATAAATAAGTCAGAAAGATCAGTAACGGCAAGGGTCGCAAAAGCGAGATCCCAAAGACCCTCACCAACGAAGTTTAAAGCTTGACGGCAGTTCCATAATGTGGGGATTAGTCCTGTGGTTTTTAACCAAAGTTCCATCTAAATTTTCCTGTCATTCTATATCAAGAATCCAATCAATTGATATTCTTCTGGTCGAATCGTGGAACTTATTGGACATTTTTTTTAAAAAAATGTTATAGATTTTGGTGATTTTATTTATTATAATCCACAGATGGATTTGGAGCTTGGCGAAAAATAATTCACCATCACAGTATAAGTAAAAAATTTACCTTGAATCTGTGGCGGATAGAAAATCTTCAGTTCCATTATTTTTTAAAACTCGCCAACTGTAAGATTGCACTGTATTAAATTTAATACTGAAATTTGATTCCAGTGGGATTTTTTCCAATCGTTTGTATGGACACTAAATTAAATACGTAAAATTGATTAATAATTATTTGAATTAAAGTAATGAATTATAAATAAATTATTGGTATTAAAAATTTCAGACAAAAATTGGTATATCATAACCTTCGTGGATCGCAAACTATGATTGTGCTCATTCGTAGTGAGTGGAAATAATGTGAAAAATGGATAAAAAATTAATGTTTAATTGAATAAATAATCTATTCAATGATTTATTTTTGTATTTTTTGTATTATATTAAATAGCAATTATTCATTAGTAAATAATAATTTATTGTTTGTTTTGAAAAATAATAATAATAATGTCAGAGTAACAAGAAAATACACAATTTAAAGATATGATTATTATTTGTGTTAGTTTTAACTATACATATATATTATATAATACGTGATGGCATGTATGTAAATACAGAAAAAGGAAAGTTTTATATACTTCAATTATATTATATGTAGCATCACAAGATTTGAAGTATTTTGACATAAAATCATTTTCTTGTTATTAAAATATTTCATAAAATGTTTTTAATAATAAATTTGAAAATTAAAAATAAAATAACATTAAATAAAGATGTTAATCAAATATTTAAGAAAGCAATTGTCACATATCTCTTGAGACGCAATCAAGTTATGAGTTTAAATTAGGACAGCCTGACTACTATCGCGAATTTATTTTATGCAATTAAATACAATTCATTATTTAATAATTAGAATAATGAATTTTTTTCTTTCATTATACACAATTTTATTATATTTAAATAATTACATATCAGAAGAATTTAGTGGTTAAACTTTAAAATTTGATCACTTAATAATTTAGTCATAAATTAATTTTAAGAAATAAATAAACAATATGTTATTTTTAATTCTTACCTGAAAGCAATCAGATGATAAGGAGTATAGCCATGTGTCAAATTTTAATAAACTTTTTAAGAATACACAAGCTTCGTCAAAAAACAATTCAGAATTATTACAAGAATCCATTCTTATTTTCTTATACACTCAATATGTACAATTATCTGAAATATACTTTGTCTCTCTGACACACTTTTAATCTGAATGTCTTGCCCACCTATTCAATAAAGCAGGACCGGTTTTTAATTTTCATACGCTAATAATTATATTAATTTATTGTTTATATGTCAAAAACTTTTTTATTAATTTATAACTAATTAATACAAAAGTTTGCAATTTATATTACATCTTTATTATTAATAGAAATTATTGCAATTAATTATTACAATCGATTATATCAATTAATTATTGCATTTAATTATTGCCATTAATTATTACAATTAAATATTAAAATTAATTATTGCAATTCATTATATCAATTAATTATATTACAATTAATTATTGCAATTAATTATATTACAATTAATTATTGCCATTAATTAAATAAATTAATTATTGCAAATAGTTATTGCTGTTAACTAACGTAGTTAATTATTGCAAATAGTTATTGCAGTTAACTAACGCAGTTAATTATTGCAATTAATTATTTTCGTTAATTAACGCAGTTAATTATTGCAATTAATTATTTTCGTTAATTAACGCACTTAATTATTGCAATTAATTATTACAATTAAATATTACAATTATTGCAATTAATTATATAAATTAATTATTACAATTAATTAATACAATTAATTATTCCAAGTAACTTTTGCAATTAATTATATCAATTAATTATTACAATTAATTATTACAATTAATTATTCCAAGTAACTTTTGCAATTAATTATTACAATTAGTTATTGCAGGTAACTAACGCAGTTAATTATTGCAATTAATGTTTCTAAAACGAAAAATTAAAAAGTCGGGACATTCAAAAAGTGGTTATTAAATATTTAAATGTTATTAGTTTATTTTTATGTTAATATAAATTTAATGACAATTTCACATGAAATTCGCAATAAATGAAATTAATATTTATAAAACTGAATAACTATTTTATAATTTGTTTTAAAACATTATTTCCTAATCCAGAAAAAGGAATGCATTATTAACAACTGTTTGAAAATATAATTAACAATTATTAAATTATCTATAATAATCATAAATTATATATTGTTTTCAAATCTAGAAATTATATCTTTGATGTATCTGACCTTATTTTAATTGTTTGAAAAAAGATTGCGGGAGAATGATAATAAATGATTTTTTAATAATTGATATATATATTGACTTATTATCTAAATAGTCACTGATAGAAGTTTAGCTTGAACTGAAACAATTTTGCAGGTGTTTTATTGTCTTAAATTTATATAAAGGAAATAAATTTTAAAGAAATATGTTCTGTCAAAAAGTATTATTATTATCACCATTATTATTAGTGTTTTTAGTGTTTCAATTGTCAAATAGTTTTTCCATACAAGGATCTATAAAAAATTCACAATTATTTGAACTCTCTGTAATTCATATAAATGATTTTCATGCCAGGTATTTATAAAATATTTAGCAAAAAATTGCTTCTCACATTATTTTCCCAGTCCCTTGAAAATCATGAAAGTTAGATACAAAAAAAACTCGAAGTATCTATGTGCACTTAATACGTTTTTTTGGAAGTATAAATACTTAATGAAATTCATTAATTAATAATAATTAATTTTTTTTGCATGACGTAGTCCTTTTCGAAAAAAAAAATTGTACAAAAGGGAAGTATTTAAAAAAAATAATTTCTGTTAACTTAGAATTATGGATTCCATGACGATAATATAATACCTTCAATGATTCACTAAAGACCAAAATATCATTATAAAATATTAAAAATAATAAAAACAAATGATTTCTTTGGTAGATTTCTTCAAACTGGTCCTGCTTCAGATATATGTGATGAAGAAATGCACGAACACACCTGTATAGGAGGCATTGCACGAGTTTACACTGCAAGTAAAAAATTACTTAATGAACGACCAAATGGAATATTTTTAAATGCTGGTGACATGTATCAAGGCACCATATGGTATAATCTTTTCAAATGGAATGTCACAGCTCAATTTATGAACCTACTTCCTCATGATGCCTTGGTAATTAGAATTATTTTTTTTTTGTCAAGAAATGAAGTTATCCCTTGGTAGAATTTTGACGCCTTTTTCCCGAAATTAAACAAATTTCCTTGAAACTGGAGAAAACTCTTGGTACTTTTTTTACAGGAATAGAATTATTAATTAATTAAATTAATTAATTAAAAACTATTAATTATTAGTGTTTCTATAGTTTATATTTATATCTCCTATTTACCTAATTGCAGGCGTTTTGAGTATCTACACTTCTAGAATTTTATTATTATTATTATTATTCCTAATCCAAAAGATATATATTATTATTTACAGACACTTGGTAATCATGATTTTGATAATGGAATAGCCGGTATTGTGCCATTTTTACAACGAATGAAATATCCTGTTGTAGTGGCAAATCTAGACATAACGGAGGAACCAACTTTAAAGGTATAAAATATTCAATTTTGTTATATTGTAACTTGGTAAATTATAAAAATAACTTAAAAAATCTAAACGAAGATTCTAAATTATTTTTTGCTTTAGGATCTTTTTACAAATAGTACTATCATAGAAAAAAGTGGACGGAAAATTGGAGTAATAGGTGTTCTACTATCTACCAGTTATGTAAGTCAAAAAAAAAGCTTAAAATATTTCTTAAAATTAATAACTTAACTTTTCCATATAAGAATCTGGATAAAAATCTAAATGCCAACTAAATAACCTGAACCTTATAAAATTAATCCATATTATAGTTTACGTTAAAAACTAAAATGTGTTCCAAAATTTAGGTTAAGAAATATAAAAATTTAATTTTCAAGATAACAGGTTTTTACAGATGATTAGTAGAACAGAAAATTTAATATTTATCGATGAAGTGATAGCCATTAATGCTGAAGCTGAGAAATTAAAAGCAAAAGGAGTGGAAATTTTAATTGTCCTCAGTCATTGTGGTTTAGATATTGATCGAATAATTGCTGCTAAATGTCCTAATATTGATATTATTGTTGGAGGACATTCTCATACATTCTTATATACCGGTACTGCAAATATATTATTTGTTCGAATATAATTCAAGGTATAATTTTAAGAAAGTGTTATTCGAAATTTTAAAACAATAAATGAATTTTTTTAGGTCCTGAACCTTATATAGATATTCCAGAAGATGAATATCCTGTTCATGTGAAACAAAATAGTGGAAGATCAGTATTAATCGTTCAAGCATCAGCTTTTACAAGGTTTGGAGAAGAAATAATTTTATTCCCATTTTCTTTGGAACCTCCTAGTATTGGCGATTCAAACAGCTACACTAGCGCCACAGTTGAACTAATTTAGACGTGACTCGCTCTAAAGCAGTCTCTGTTTTGACAGTTTATTTCAAATTATTTAATTATTCTGATATTTTTATTGCGTTTGTAAAATTATTTTTAAGCGTTAAATAAAAAAAAATAATTTAAAACACATGGAGTGCTACAGAGCGAGTCACACCTAAATTAGTTCAACTGTGGCGCTAGTGTAGCTGTTTGAATCGCCAATTAGTTTATATATAAAAATTATTTTATGATTCGTTTCTAGATACATTGGAAATTTGACAGTGTGGTTTGATTCTAATAATGAAATTGTGGATTGGGAGGGAAATCCAATTCTATTAGATCATTCTATTCGAGAAGGTAAGAAAATATCACAGCATTATGGTTAACTAATTTAAAAAACTAATTCCTACGAATTATATAGATCCGGAAATATTAAAAGCCCTGAAACCTTGGAAGAAGATGGCTGATGTAAAAGGGAAGCAAATAGTTGGATCAACAAAAGTATATTTAGATGGGAAATATGTATGCCGTAGAGGAGAATGTAATATGGGTAATTTAATTGCAGACTCAATGGTGGATTATGTGAGTAGAACATTTCTTATCAGTCTTCTGTTTGTTTATTAATAGATAAATTTTTCTCTTTACTTTAATTTCCATTTTAATGAAAAAAACCATTAATGGAATTAAAATAATTTATCATTTCAGAATATCGGGAAAGATACGAATAAAACTTTTTGGACTCGGGCTTCAATTGGTATCATAAATGTAGGAGGAATTCGAAGCAGTATTACTAATGATCCCGAGACAATTAGATATGAGGATCTCATTGGGGTTCAACCTTTTGAAAATACACTCGAGACAGTTGAATTTCAGGGAAAAAGTATTCTAAAGGTAAAAATCATTATTAATTAATGAATTATTAATTAATTATTATCGTTAAAAATCTTTTTTTACAGTTTCTAGAAGAAGCAGTACTTAAGAGTCGTTCTCAAAATGAATTTGTAGGCAGATTATTTTATCAATGGTCTGGAATCAAAGTTACTTACAATTTATCAAATCCACATTATCATAGAGTTGTAGATCTAAAAGTAAGGTAAAGTATTTATTATTTATGTTATTGCTATAAATTTTTGAATATCCATTTATATTCATTGTTAATTGTTGTGGTTGAGTTATTTGAGTAATTAATTAATTACTAAATTTTTAATGTTTTTTATATAGATGTCAAGCCTGTGAAATTCCAATTTACGAAGATCTGGACCTTAACGAATGGTATAGAATTACAACATTAAATTTTTTACTCGATAAAAGTAAGTACGCGCCTCCAATTCTAAATGGATATCGAAATCGTATCCCAGGACCTCAATTTATAGATGTCCTTGTAGAATTTATTAAAAAGAAAAGTCCAATAACATACGGAACTGAAGATAGAATAACTCTCCTTGGAACTTGGAATGGAAAATAAATTTTCAAAAAAATTTATAGCGAATTCATAAATTCTATCCTACTTAAAAAGTATTAATTTATCATCAATCATTAAAACTTGTAAAACGATCATAAAATAGTTTTATTTTTAAAGGAATATGAAAATTAAAAATAATTATTTTCTATATACATCTTTTTTTTTAAAAAAGTACTAGATTAAAATAAAATTTGAAAGCAAATTTATAGATCTGATACTGAAATAACTTAAAAATAGACTATTTTATATATTTTGTAAATAAAAAGCATTTGATGTACACCATAAAAAATTTGAATACATATTTAGTTTTTTTTTTGTAATTATAAATTACAAGTATTAAAAAAATTTAATCTCTAATGAAAAAATGTATAATTGATTAGTACCGGACCATACACCTAATCCTTTTGTACCAAATTTCAATCTCATTTTCTGTCGCTATTTGAAAGAGAAAATTTGTTATCTCTTTCTATCTTTTCACTTTCCACGGGGGGGAGGGGGTAATTAATGCAAAAATTATCTATGGAGGCGAAAGATTAAAAAAATCCGAATTTCAGTATTTCAATACTTCGATACATAAAAATACCAATACCAATTGAAGATATCAATCAGTTAAGTTTTAAAAGTACTAAGATTATAAATATTATAAATCTGCATTTTTTCTTGGTGAAAAAGAAAATATCAAAGATATAATACATATAGATTGATTATAAAATTGATAAAGAAAATTGTAAATTTTATCGTTATATAATGGAGAAAAAATTATATAGATTTTACTCCGAGTTTCGTGTACATAATGATTTTTTAATTCCGCAACCTTAATAAAAAACAAATCAAATTCAATAAAAGAAATTAATTTATCCTAATTTTTTTTCCTATATAATTAAATAAAAATTAATTATTTTTATGCAAAAAATATATTTATACAAATTTTTAAATCAAAATAATTAATAAACATTATCAATTTAAGGATTCTTTGAATTATGACTTTAATAATTACCAAATGACAAATTAGTTTCCGTATCGTGAAAAATAAATATTGTAACTAGCTCATATTAGAATTTCTCTATTCGATCAATCATTGATATAAAAGATAAGTATTTTTTCTAATTGAAATATATAAAATCAAATCAAATGGGCACGCAATAAACAGTAATTAAAATGTTGCTGCACATTATTCTTGCCTTTCTGGTCATTGAAACATACGGTAATAAATTAATAATATTTACTAATATATATTTTTATTTTCTTTTAAATTCCAAACAATTTAATGATAATTTGTGTCTATAAATTTTATTTATTGGTGTACGACTAATTTTTATTGCATTAAAGGAAAATCATATTGGATTCAACCACAATTTCCTGATCATCGAATTGTAGGAGGGCAAAGAATTGATATTCGTTCACATCCTCATCAACTCTCACTACAATCATATTTGCGTCATATTTGCGGTGCTTCAATTATAAGTGAAAATTGGGTTATTACCGCAGGACACTGTGTTGGGTATGATTTTTAATTCTAATTAAATACTTGAGTAACTGGAAAATCGTTTTAAAAATTAGAATATCCGACTGCTTTTAAATATCCTAAAACATTATTAAGGGGGGAACACTAGTTGTAACTCAACAAATAATGCTTTTTACAAGAATATTTTCCAAAAGAACAGTGAATCTTTTTAAAGAATACTATTTATTAGTTAAAAGTACATGTAAAAAGCTGTAATTTAAAAGAAAAAAAAAAATTTTTTAACAAAAACTTTTGGAGATATGAGCCATTGAAGTGGCGCCTTAAGAAAAAAGGCGAATTGCGGTGACCAGCATTCTGCAAGTATACTTCGTCTGAAATACAAAAATGAAATTGATTTACATTTATTATAAGATTATCTAGTTCGTGATCGAAGGATTTAAAAAAAAAAAAATTTGACAAAATGGCGACCTGTCAAAGTCAAAAGTATGATTTTCGTTAAAAAATACGGTCGATTTTCAGCTATATAAAAAAAAGTTTTGCATAAAAAAAAAAATCCTTCGATCACGAACTAGACTTATATGTGTAAATGAAGAACACTAAATTTTAAATAAATCGGTTTAATGGTAATCGAGTAATCGTGGTCACCGACTTGGAAAATGTCATTTTGAGAAAAACGCATTCAAAGTTTCAACTTACTTTTTTTTGTTCAGAAGAAATTTTGTTTCCAAGTTACAAAGAGTCATCGATTCCTGGACCATATAATAACTCTTCCGCAGTGGTTGCCGATTCTAAAATGCCAATTTGCTGCCATCTGTCGTTAGGGTCAGGTATGGCTGGCCATCTTGTATGAAGCCACGGGACGCGCCGCTGCCATAGAGATAATATAAATAGAGTAGACAAGGTATAGGCGGCTGCGTAAGAGGGAAGTGTCCTGACATAAACAGAATGGGTTGGAAAGAGAAGAAAGATTTAACACCAGTATCTGTCCTTCAATAAGCACCAGCGCAAGAGAGACACCTACTGGTGCTAAAATCGCGTTCTCTTTCTATCAAACGGACGCCTCTATACAGACCATCTCCACTCTATTTATATTATCTCTATGGCCGCTGCAGTGTTCTGTATATCTCATTTATTTTTCACCGGATCAACTTTGAAATTTACAGACACATTTCTAAATATGTATACTTTAAGAAAATTCACAAAAAAATCGATTTTTCGAAAGTTACAACTGGTGTTCCCCCCTTAACGTCAATCAATCTAGAATTAATTAAATCTAATCCAAAGTCAGTTCGATCAAACAAAGAATGTAGATTCTGGATTTACTGATTACACAGGCCGGATTAATTTCGGATTCAATAGAAGTAATTTTGCATTTATTAGTTTGTGTATAATCCGATTAATTTCGGTTTAGATCGTATTTACCAGTCAGACAAATAATACTATTTCGGACTTAACTGGACTAATTCTGGATAATAGAAACGCGACTCTAAACTGGACTGATTTATATAATTTAATATTTGTTCTAATTTCTTATTTTCATACAATATAAATTCCATTCGCCATTTGGCCACAACAAACACTGTATACCTAAACAAGTACGGCCCCCAAGAATGGCTAATTTTCAATTAAGATTTTAGACCTAACTAAATCCGCATTCGTTATATTGCCGACTAATTCCGACTTCTTTCTGATTAAGATTTTTGTTCGGATTCAATTTTTTGACAGTACTAAATCCGGATTGTTGCGTACTATTTGCGGATAATTTACATACAAATTATAGATAATTTTGGATTAATTGCGGATTTATTTCACGTTAATTTCGGACTATTCTGGACTGATCACGGTTTTATCTTTTCATTCGTACTGATTGCTGACTAATACATATCATTTTCGTATTGTTTTCGCAAAATTTCTGTACTAATCCAGACTGATCTGTCTTTACAGTCTGAAATATTAACCAGGGAGCAATTCTTCATTTATTTCCAATAAAAAAAATAATACTTAGTTGAGAATTTCTAATTTTTTCAGCGGCAGTCCAGCCTCTTATAAATTACGTGCTGGTAATAGTAATAATCACAATGGAATAATATACAATGTAACAAGGATAATTCGTCATCCGTTATTCAATAGAATTCAAATTGATTATGACGTTGCTGTTATACAGGTTAAAATTTTTTGTTAATTTAAATTAATTTTAAAAACTTTTGACTATATTTGAGTATATACACAATTCTGCGACGAAAAGATTTGATGTTATAATAATAATTTTTTTAGATTACAGAAAAATTCATATTTAGTGAGACAATTCAACCTATTAGGCTGGCTGATAAACAGCTTTTATCAGGGCAAATAGTAAACATAACTGGTTGGGGAAATACTGTAAGTGTTTTTTTGTTTTAAAACCGTACAATAATTTGTATGCAAAAAAAGTACAATCAACTTAATTTATTTCCACAAAATCATTCCATAAAAATTTGACATAAAAAACTAATCGATAATAAAATGAATTTTAATTTTTAGGAGAATGGTCCAAATGATGGATATCTTCGACAAGTTTCAGTGCCAATTATTGAACGTAAATTATGTGAATCGGCATATAAGGATATAAATCCAATTACTCCAAGAATGATTTGTGCTGGAAGATTATTAGAAGGAGGAAAAGATTCATGTCAGGGAGATTCAGGTGGTCCTCTTACAGCTAATGGTACTCTCTATGGAATTGTATCTTGGGGTTTAGGTTGTGCACAACCTCGTTTTCCAGGTGTTTATAGTAATGTTGCTGAACTACGTTCATGGATTAAGAATACTACAGGCATTTAAGTGCACGATAATATATTTTAATTTTATTGTATAAGTATTAAGTTTTAATTTTTTTTTAAACTATAAAGAAACTTTACTTCTTTGTTCTATTAAAATTGTCAAATTTCAACTAATTGATGATCCATTTCTCGTGTAGTTTTATATCATATTCAAACATTTTTAATATATTGCTAACATTAAATTCAATTGTACAAAAATTAGGTAAGCTTAGTAAAATTTTATTTGTATAAAAATTGTCGCATGTTTCTTGTAAGTTTTTATAACTGTTGTATTGTAAAAAATAAATATGCACAGAGAAAATATTTTCTTAATATAATTTTAATCGTATTAATACCTATTTAAGTAGTTAAGAAAGGTAAGTATATAAAAATAATGAATCTACTATTCAAGGGCGTAAAATTAGTTTAAATTTATAAATTTGCAACGATACTAATAAACTTAATCAAAGTTAATTAAGGTGATTTAACAAAAATGGAAAAGGAACACTAAATATAAAAACGTTGATAGTGCAGGGAAGAAATACCCTAATTCAGACGATAGTAAAAAGCATTACCCTTCTAGTATAAACAGCGGAGGAAGTTTAATTTCGTCTGACCTAGACAACGGGACAATCAAAGAGGAACACGAGAAGTGTTTAAAGCTTAGGCAGGAGGAAGCTGAGTGTCTTCAGAGGATCGAAGAGGAAATCGACAAGATGTTAAAGTATTGCGAAGTCTAGAAGAATGTCAATATGGCTATTAAGGACGGACTTAAGACTCTACAGGATCTTCTCAGTGAAGCGAAAATAAAAAACGCCCCAGCTGATAAAGAAGATAGTAACCTTGGTGGTCCTATAGGCTATGCAGAGGTGAACCGAGAGGAGCGTAACCATGAGAAGCAGCTTCGGCGCGCAGTCATAGAGGCGCAGAAACGAATAAAAAGCTCTGGCAGTCCAGAGAGGACTGACGCCGAGGCGAAGAAGAAAAAGCAAGAGAAGGCACCCCTTGTTAGAAATATTGTGAAGGTGTCAGTAGCACCGAATCCTAAACAAACAAGTAAGAAGAAAGCGATAAGTGGATCTACAATGGTGATCTGAGTCGCAACAGGAACAACGTACACCGAAGTACTAAGCAAACTTTGGAGGGAAGTGAATTTGGATGTTAGTCTCACATAGGTCGTAGGTGCAAGGCCAACAAGAAAGGAAGATCTCCTGATCAAAATCGGAGGAGACTCCAATAAGGATGCATTCACCGCTAAAGTCACCCAAGCAGTTGGAAGCATGAAGAAGGTGCAGAATGTGGAACGACAGGTCACACTGGTGGTGATCCGCAACCTGGAATGCCTTACCCTAGGACCCAACCAACGAGGAACAAAGCTCGCGGTTGTAGTCATCGACACAGAGGAGGCGGACAGGCTGGAGAAATTGGGACGTATTAGGATTCGCTTTATGTGATGCCCATAAAAAGGATGATGATCATTTGGTACCACCGGTGCATGGCTTACGGCCCCATAGGAAGAGTTTGTAAGGCAGCGGAATGATCGACTGCGTGCTACAAGTGTGATGAAGTCGATCATAAGTTTGCAAACTGCAATAAAAAACCCAAGCTGCTTTTTATGTAAAGAAAAGTATGGCGATAAGGCGAACATTAGCCATAACGCAGACAGCGGAGTATGCGAAGTCTTTAGGGAGTCCAAGAAGACTATCACAAGAACGAAGAATAAATAGGTCAGAAAGATCAGTAACTTCAAGGGTCGCAAAAGCAAGATTTCAAGGACCCTCACTTACGAAGTATAAAGCTTGACGGCCGTTCCGTAATGTAAGAATTAGTCCAGTCGTTGTGGTTTTTAGCCAGTCCTATCTAAATTTTCCTGTCATCCTAAATCAAGGATCCAATCAATTGGTATTCTTCGGATAGAACCGTGAAACTTATTAAACATTTTTTTAAACAATTTTAAAGATTCTGGTAATTTTTAGGGATTGGAATAGAATTTACTATGTTTATAGTACAAAAACTCGAAATTTTATGATAGAGGTTGCCTTAAGGGTAGTACTAATTGTAAGACTCTTCCCCAACTTGTATCGGGATGTCAATATTTTTCTGTACTTTTAGATGTATTTTGTGCAAGAAATTGCAATGAAATAGTCTGCCTAAGAAAAATTGAATTTTTTTGGGATCTTTTTATGGTTATAATTCCCTTATGGGTTGTAATAGGGGAATCCTCTACTCCTATTTGGCTGCGTAAATTTTTTTCTACACTTTTAGGTGTATTTTGTGCAGGAATTTGTTGTCAAATAGTCTGTCTAAGAAAAATTGAATTTTTTGGAAATTTTTTTATGATAAGGATGCATTAAGAGTGGTAATAAGGGTCTTCTTCTACTTTTTAATTTATTTTTAGAAATAAGTTAATTTAATTTATCATAATCCACAGACGGATTTGAGGAAATAATTCACCATCATGTTAAATATTTTTACAAATTGCGATTCGGGAAGTTATATATTCTGACAACTGAAAATTCGAAAAGTTAAATATTTTGACAATTGGAATTTCGGCAAGTTTAATATTCTGACAATTGGAATTTGGGATGTTATAAATATTATGATATACCTATGAAAATTCGAGAAATTAGATATTCTGACAACTGGAGATTCGGAAAGTTAAATATTCGCACAATTGCAAGTTAACCACCTTTAATTAATTAGAATTTAAAATTGAAATCTTAATTTAATTTTAAATGTATCAGATATTCGCCGATAATCTATATATGACTTTCGTAATTTCGTTGAGAGTATTGATAGAAATATGTTAGGTGAAATGCGAACCACGAAATAATTATAATTTATCTCTCATTTTAATGATCGGAAATAGTCGAACTTAATGGTTAGCAATAAAAATAACACAGTATAACGTGAAACTATATATATTTAAAAGGGAACTACTTTTATTTTTAATTCGACAGTTGTAGAAACAATTTCGTTATGTACTTTCAGTCTCTTTTGACAATAGCTTTATTAAAATGCGCTTTTGGAAAGTTTCCTTCTTTTTTCGGTTAGTATTTTTTATTAAAGTGAAAAATTTATTTTGCAAATCGATTTTACTGTTTGTGAAAATATTTGTTCAATAAAAATAATAATAACAATAACAATAGAGAAAACTATCTGTACACAAAATAATATATAAAATATGTGATTCATCTTTTGAAGTGTAAATTAATTTTTTTAGTGATTGTAGGAGTGAAAATTTTATGAACAACAAAATGTGTAGTTTAATAATTACAAAAAATTTTATTAATAAAAAAACTATTTAGAACTATTTTTACGATTATTTGTTCCTATCAGTGTATTTTGTGTAGAGATTGTTTTCTCTATTAAAACTATGCTAATATTACTAAAAATATAATATCTATAAAGTTATTGATAATGGAAATAATTAATTTATTGTAGTATTTTAAGAAGTAATTAAGAAGTCTTAAGTACCTCAAAATTATTAGTTTTTTATTTTTGTTTTAGATATATATTTTAGAATTTACTGGTTGCATAAAAAATTTGTTTTAACTAAAAGGAGTTCTAACTATTGTTTTTTAATTTCTCACTTTACTTAAATACAAGAACATTAACATTTTGATTATTTTAATAAATAGGCGACGAAGATATTTTTCTAAATGATGATGATGTTATTTTAAGTGATGATAGTAGAACAGAGGGTGGTTGGATAGATAATGACGAATTTGATTATTCGAGGGCAATGGATGATGACAGAATTGTTGGAGGTCACATCACGTTTATACAAGAACATCCTCATCAGGTAAATGATGCATTTTTTTATAACATAACAAGTAGTTGGCTTTTTTTTTTAGAAATTTTTTATAGAAAATAAATAATTTTAAATCTCACTCTAATTTGAATAAAGACTAATTACTATATTCAGGATTTTAGATTAGATATTTGAAAAAATTACCAATTTCTCCATATCATTATTGGTAATGACTCGCACTCTAAATCTGAATCAGTGAAAATTTCACTGAATTCAAATCAGTGGCTCAGTTTTCTTTAATTCACCAGTGAAATTTCACTGAGAATCAGTGGTTTTTACTTTTTTAATTTCACTGGTGAATTAAAGAAAACTGAGCCACTGATTTGAATTCAGTGAAATTTTCACTGATTCAGATTTAGAGTGCGGAGAGATTGATAATTTTTTTTCAAACATCTAAAGACTAATTACGATGAAATTAATTATTTTGTAAGGTGTCTCTTAGATATAAAGGAAGACATATATGTGGAGGATCTATTATTAGTGAAGAATGGATAATAACTGCCGCTCACTGTGTTTCAAGGTATTATTAAAATAGATTTTCAATAATATGATATAGAGAAGTAATTCTGCACTTTTTGATGTTTTTGGTCAATCACTTCAAGTTCTTAGTTTTATTAATGAAAATCCGATTTGTAATTATTAATCGCTACTTTGTGCCTTTTAATATTAATTGATATTTGATGATCCTGTAATTGGTCCAAGTGACTTGGATTCATTTCAATAAATAAAAATAATAAAAAATAGATTTAATTTACAATAAATTATTTCGTAAAATTCAAAAATGTTACTTTTAATGGGACAATATTACAAACAAATTTTTTAAATTTAGTTAATTTTTAATATAATTTTTTTAGAGCATTTGCTGAGGATATTACAATAAAAGTTGGATCCTCAACAATAAAGGGAGTAGGAGATGTAATGCAAGTTAGTGAAATAATTGTTCATGAAAATTATGGCTCAAGCGATTACGATGTTGCTGTAATGAAGGTATTATATATTGCAAATTATATTGCATTTATTTCATACAATTTTTCTTTAAAATATTTTTATTTTTCATTATTTCTAACATACAAATTGAATATAATATAAAAAATTTTTAGTGTTCCTGTTTTATTTTGTAATAATTTTATTTTAAATTTCCTCTCTTTTAATGACAATAACAAAATTGTATGAATGCAACATCCGATATAATTTAGAAATACTAAATATTTGCATTTTATTTTCTTTTTATGAAAGAAATATATTTTTTATTGAATTTACGATTTCAGCTAGAGGAACCATTGCATTTTAGAGAAGGAATTGGATCTATTGGATTGCCTTCGACATCAGAGAATTATTACAGTGGTACGAAGGCAACTGTTACTGGATGGGGCACACTTAGTAGTTCAGGATCATTAAGTAATCATTTGAGAGAAGTTATTGTACCATTAGTTCCTAGTTCAAAATGTGCTCAACTTTATGGTAGAGAAACAATAACACGTCGAATGATATGTGCTGGTTATATTCGAAGTGGAGGAAAAGATGCTTGCCAGGTGATTTTCATAAAAAATTGCAATTTTTTTATTTTCCAAAAATAAATTCATAACACCAAAAGTGAGGTTATGTTTAAATTTGCAATATTTATAATCTGATTTAAAATTTATAATTTAAAAATCGTTTTAAAATTAATACTACATTTTTCTTACAAGATAATAAAGGGAATTTTTGCAAGGAAGAAAGTATGACTGCTGCCACCTACCGTGCAAAACCGGCGGCTTAACATCATTATTGACGATGAATTGAAATGTCACTAGAAAACTCCCTAGCATATCAAAACACTCTTATCCGAACATCATACACTTTAAACTTTATTTATTTAATAATAAAACATTAATTTAGCAAAAGTACTGCATATAAGTCAATCACTAAAATAGTTTATTTATTCAATTCAATAATACTTTTTCACAGTTTCCACTGATTTTTACTCAAAATGAATCTCCACGTCAATTTTTCAATTCTTTTTTTTTTTATTAAAGAGGAATGGTACACGTTAACATAACCTCAAATTGTTTTTTTAAACAATTTAATGCAAAGAACATTATAAATATTGCAATTAATTTTCATCATAATTTTGTTTGCGTTAAATTGTTAAAAAAACACAATTTCTCATTTTTGAGGTTATGTTAACATTCCTCCTTAATGGAGTATTTTTTACAGGGTGATAGTGGAGGACCATTGGTGCAAGATGGCAAATTAATAGGAATAGTTTCATGGGGATATGGTTGTGCAAGACCAATGTATCCTGGAGTTTATACACGTGTGACTGCAGTCCGATCGTGGATCAGCGAAAAAACTGATCTTTAAAAACTCCTATAAGTTCGTTAAAATAACAAAAAGTATATTAATTTTTTTTTTTTATTCTCTTTCGGTATAAGTTTGTAAATATTTTTAACGAAAATATGTAATATTACAAGAAATTGTTGAAAAATAAAAAAATAATTTACTTTCTCTTATTAATAAAATTAATTGTTTTAAAATTACTTTCCTAAAATTAAATGGAATAATAACACCGTCCGACACGATTTTTCACACACGAAAAAATCAATGATTTTCAGAAACTAGGACCAAAAAAAAGATACCCGTGTCTGGCCGTTTTGCTAGATCAGGTCATTTTTTGCTTTTAGGGGTAAAAACAACCCTTAAATGAAAGGTGATAGGAAATCTTGTACAAATTAATAATTTTTTATGAAACCTGGTATCTCGGGGTTTTCCGGGTCGCTGATTACGAATCTGATGTCAGATTTTCAAAATTCAAAATGGCGGATCCAATATGGCGGTCGAAATTTATAAAAATTCAGCAATTCATTTAAAAGTTGTTACTTAGGGGTTTTTGGGGTCGCTGATTACGAATATGATGTCAGATTTTCAAAATTCAAAATGGCGGATTCAATATGGCGGTCGAAATGTATAAATATTAATTCTTTTTTATAAAACTTGGTATCTAGGGGTTTTTAAGGTCGCTGAGTACGAATCTAAAGTCAGATTTTCAAAATTCAAAATGGCGGATTCAATATGGCGGTCGAAATTTATAAAAGTTCATCGAATTCACTTAAAACTTGTTAATTGAAGGTTTTTGGGGTCGCTGATAACGAATGTGATGTCAAATTTTGAAAATTCAAAATGGCGGATCCAATATGGCGGTCGAAATGTATAAATATTAATTCTTTTTTATAAAACTTGGTATCTAGGGGTTTTTAAGGTCGCTGAGTACGAATCTAAAGTCAGATTTTCAAAATTCAAAATGGCGGATTCAATATGGCGGTCGAAATTTATAAAAGTTCATCGAATTCACTTAAAACTTGTTAATTGAAGGTTTTTGGGGTCGCTGATAACGAATGTGATGTCAAATTTTGAAAATTCAAAATGGCGGATCCAATATGGCGGTCGAAATGTATAAATATTAATTCTTTTTTATAAAACTTGGTATCTAGGGGTTTTTAAGGTCGCTGAGTACGAATCTAAAGTCAGATTTTTAAAATTCAAAATGGCAGATTCAATATGGCGTTTCAAATTTATAAAAGTTTTGTCGAATTCACTTGAAACTTGTTACTTGAAGGTTTTTGGAGTTGCTGATTACAAATTTTATGTCGGGTTTTCAAAATTCAAAATGGCGGATCCAATATGGTGGTCGAAATTTATAAATGTTATTAATTTTTTATAAAACTTCGTATCTCTGGGTTTTTGGGGTCGCTGAGAACACATCTGAAGGTATATTTTTAAAATTCAAAATTGATCTAATAATGTGGAAGATTAGAAAACAATATTTAAAAAATAACCTGATCTAGCAAAACGGCCAGACACGGGTATCTTTTTTTTGGTCCTAGTTTCTGAAAATCATTGATTTTTTCGTGTGTGAAAAAAAAAGTTGAATTTTGTCGGACGGTGTAATAATTATAAATTTATAATAATTAATAGTAATAATTAATTGAATAATAATTATAATTAATAATAATTAATTAATAATTATTATAATTAACTAATAAATAATTAAATTTCCTTTCGGAAATTCGTTATCATCGTGTAAATTATATTTATTTTAATCATATATTGCCGAGCAAACCATAAAAAGAACATCGTTTAAGGAAATAGTAAACTTTTTTTTCTAACAGATATACTAAATAACAAATTTTTTTTGAATTTATTGAACAACACATTACAAAGTATACAAAAATTCTTTCTTCGTAAAACACAATACAGTTTTTAAACATTTAACTTAAATTGGATTTTATTCAATTTTGCGCACAACCCACAACCTATAGTTTGATTTTTTAAATCACTATAAGGAAATTAAAAATTTATAAATATGAAATTAAATGAAAAATGTTTTACTGAAAAAAAACTAAATAGTATATTTTTCAAATATTATAATTACCATGTATAAAATTTTTCTTTTTGACAATCACATTTAAAGTTTTCTTTTTTTTTATGTACAGTATAGAATTGAGTTACATTAGGCTTCAAAATTATTACCATCTACGATTTTTTTCTATTCTTTAATTATTATATGAAAATACAGAATCTAAAAATAAAACATAACCGTCTCTCAACCTTGATTATTTTATTTTTAATGTAATTATTATTAAATATCTTTATCATTTTTTTCTTTTTTTTTTTTTGCAAAATTCAATTTTCCTTACATATAATTTTTGACAAAATTTTGCAATTTTTAGTTTTTAGAAGTATGTAGGTAATGAAAAATAGTTATCCATTAATTTAAAATTGTTTAACACCTTTTGTATTATAATAAGTATAATCTACGAATGAATCGTTAGATTAATTTTACAGATAAATTCACAATATTTTATTAAAATTGTTTTCTTTTTTTTTTGAAAATGTAAGATAAATTAACATATTTTTTCCAATATTAAAATACTTTATAATTATTAAAAAAAAAATACAAAAAATAACAATTTGATTTTTTAACAATGTTTTCTATTAAAAAATAAATTAAACACAAAATTTAACGATTTTCTCTTAATTTTTTGTAATCAAGTTTTAAATGGCATTGGCAATATAAAATTAGTTATTCCCTTTTTTAGAATTTTTAGAATTCCAGTTTTCACTTTTAAGTAAAATCTAATTATATATATATCATAGATTGTAATGAACCTAAAGATGTTTACTATCCTATATCTAATTTGATTTTTAAAAAACTACTTTTTTTCCTCTTTGTTTATGTTTTAAAAAAGAAGTAGAAAAAAATATTTTTTAACATGGAATGCTTTTTTTATATATAAGTTATATATATAATATACATATATAAATACTTTTATAGTATATTATTTCGTTATATGTTTCAACACATTTTACGATTATTATTATCGTATTAAAAATGAAAAAAACTGCTAAAATAGTTATTTTCGTATCAAGGGCGCAAAATAGGTGATTGTGGCGAAGGCGAGATTAGAGAAACCAAGGGGACCCGAAGCGCCCGAGGCGAAGCCGAGGGTGCGTAGGGTCGCCGAGGTTTCTTCATAATCTCGCCTGAGACACTATCACCTTTTGCGCCCGTGCTGCGAACAACATTTTTTGTCCTGTCTGCATGGAAAGTGTATTATTGAGTGCATGCAAGTCCGCTTGTTTTAATGTTCCATCAGGGTTGGGGAGATAATATACTTAAGGTAAATTACATGTAGTTGTTTACGTATATTACGTATGTTTATTATGTCACAAAAAATGAAAACAATACATTTTTTAATGGTGCGGGCGCGAATGTATTTTGCGCCCGCTTCTATGACGTCAGCGGGCGCGAATGTACTTTGCGCCCGCATCTATGACGTCAGCGGGCGCGAATGTACTTTGCGCCCGCTCACCCCATCTCTGGGCGGGAATCACTTACTTTGCGACCGCCTCAAGTGCACGAAATAACACACTTTCCGTGCAGGTAGGACAAAAAAATTTTTTTTAATCAAATAATTGAGAAAATGCAAGAAATTTAAAAAAAAATAGTAAACATATTAGGAAACGTTAAGAAAAAAAAGGAAAAAATAAAAAAAAAATTTCTTTTAAATACCAAATACCTAAACGATTTAAAAATGATGAACTAATTTTCTTTTTTTTTTTGTTTAAAAAAAAACGAAAAATCAATAGTAAAATAAGTGCTTTGCACTTTAAAATAAAAATTTCATATGGATCCGCTGGAATCGCCGGGAAATACCATCATATTTTCAGCGCCATAAGAAGGTGTTGGTGAACTTCTTGCATCAAGTGACGCTCTACTTGCTGAACTAAAACTGCTAGAGCTCAAATCTTCAAAACTTGCGACTGATTGATTGGCACCTAGAAGAAATAATTGTTTATAATTTAATTATTACTGTTGAATTAATTAATTCAACAATAGAGTCAGGAATTTTTAATATAGAAAATATTTTATGGAAATTTGACCCTAGAGTACAACTGGGGTACTAAAGTACCCCTAGAGAAAATTAAAAACTACGGCCCTGGCTTTATAAGCATAACTGTCATGGCGGCGTTCTAACCTTAATTCAGGTTAAGAATGTTAATAAAAATTCTTAAAAAAATTATGAGACACAGATAAATATACGTACAACATAATGTCATTCTTGCATTTCATTAAAAAAAATGTATCCCTTTCAAAAAAAATCCCAAAAAACGGCTAAAAATCAGCGTCTTATTGTGGTTTTCCTCTTTAAATTAATTTATTCCTTTTTTTAGGGGGTTTTCCTTATTCGTTTCTTGAACTTAAAGTGTTACAATAATAATTTTTTTTTTAATTTCAAAAAACGCTTATTGGACTTTCAAGTACATCTATTTAGCTTCACAAATCCCTTGGGATTCTTTAAAAAAATTAATTTCACTATTTTTTGGCAAATTTTGTGTTTTTTGTAATTTTTTGGGGGACAATCATTTAATTAATCATTAAATTCGTTTACATTCACCAAATCTGTAAAATATTTTTCACTACTTTTCTACAAATTTCCCGTTTATTATTGAAATAAATAAAATAAAATGTCAATAAAGAAATACACTTTTGACCCAAAATTAATGATGCACAATTTTGATTCCTTAACTTTACAAAAAAAAAACTTTTTTTAAAAAAAATAACATCATTAATTTTGTGACACTATGTAGAAATTAGATTTTAAAATTTTTTATTTCATTCATATAACTTTTCTCAAACCATTTTTATTTTTTTTAAACTTGTGTTCAATTTTCTTTTTCTGAAATTATAATGTAAAATGAATAAAACAATTATTCTTTTTTTTGTACAATTTTTTGTTAACCAACTCTGTGCATTATATATTACGATAAAATTTTTTTTTTTGGTTCTTATATTCTATTCTACCAATCATACATCT